GCAACCGCCTATCCTCCCAAGTGGGCCCACGTCATCGGCGCATTCCTCGGCGCGTTCGCTAACCACGTTTGCCCCGCCCAGAAAGCCGCATCTCCACTCTCACCTCCAAACCACGCGATAAGAGCCGTTGGGCCTGACAACGCGCGCTGGCCTCGGAAAGCTATCAGCGCCCGCCCGCCTTCCTGTTCACGATACCGACAATACTCTGGGCGCCCTTTACGTAGTTATGTAATGTGCATAAGGCGTGCCGATGATGCTGGCCAGTCAGGTGGAAGGGCCGAGTGCTTATCAGGAACATGGCGGTTTCGATCCTGGTAGCATCGCAGACGCAGACGCCGACTTGTCTTGTTGTTGGGTCGAAGATGGGTTAGGGAATGGATCGGGATCATGACTCTTTGCCAATGGAAATGGGGTCTTGGAGATCAATCGGTTCGGTAGAGCAAGAAGTGCCGCCGACGTATAAAGCTCGCAGGCTTGCAGCCGTATGAAGCTTCATCACGGACTTTCGCCAAACCCCGGTTTGGACTTTTCGTGGACAAGATGCGCTTCTCTCTGTCGATCGGCGTCGCGTCTTTCGTCGTTGCCGGTGTGCAGGCTGCTGTTTCTTCAACTGGATTCACGGTTTCCTTGACCGACATCGACTACTTCCTGCCACCAAAACCAGTCGCGAAGATCTCGAGCTGCGAAGAGATTCAGGCCTCCTTCGAAGATGCTCCGTTTGTGCCGTTCACAGTGGTGAAGGCTCAGGACGGTGGTGTAGATATCGCGTCGCTCACAGCAAGCTATGCGCATGATGATGTATGGCAAGAAGGTTTCATGGACGGTATGCACCCAAATTCACCCTCTTGAGACCCTCGCTCACCATATCTTCCAGCCATCTACGTCCAAGGTAGCGATTCCAAGCCAATGAACTCTTCGTTGACCATACTATCCGGCACCGCATCCAAGGAACTACCTCCGGGCCCCTACTTCATCAACGCAGCTGGTCATGTCTACGAGGCGTGGAGGCTATTCTCCGATATGCAAGGCGCTTTCACCGAGTCTGCAATTGCCAACGGCGACGGTTCATACTCGGTTTTGCCCGCGGGTACCGTGGGCCAGAAGCATGCCATCGCTGTGCCTTCGCGGTTGTACTTCACCAAGACGGCCGAGAAGCCTTTGGCTGGTGTAAGAATTGGTATCAAAGACATCTACGGTACGACACACCATCACCACATAGGCTATGGTTCTTGAGCATCGACTAACAAGAACCGTAGATATCAAGGGCCTGCGAACATCCAACGGAAACCGAGCTTGGTACTGGCTATACCCTCCTGCCAACGCGACTGCGCCGCCCGTCCAGAACCTGATCGACGCAGGAGCGATCATCGTCGGCAAGATGATCACCTCTCAATTCGCCAATGGCGAAACCGCAACGGCTGACTGGGTTGACTACCACGAGGCATTCAACCCCCGTGGCGACGGCTACCAAGACACCTCCTCCAGTTCCTCCGGTGGTGGCGCAGGTACAGCATCCTACTCCTGGCTCGATGTCAGTCTCGGATCCGACACCGGCGGCAGCGTGCGCGGCCCATCGCAAGTTCAAGGTCTCTACGGCAATCGACCATCTCACGGACTGGTCTCTCTAGACCACACCATGCCACTCAGTCCCGTGCTCGACACCCCCGGCTTATTGGCGCGCAACCCTCAAATCTGGATGGAAGCAGCCCAAGCCATGTACGGCCCCAACATCACCATCACAAACAGCTACCCAACAAGCATCCAAACCCTCGGCTGGCCCACCGAAGTCGAAGACGTCGCCGACCAACTCCTCATCGACTTCCTCGGAAACGTAACCGACTTCCTGGGCGCAAACGCCACCGCGTTCAACGTCACAGCCTCTTTTGACGCTGCAAACCCAGACGTCGCACCTCTTACAGTCTTACAGAACCTCACCTACGCCATCCTAATCACGAAGCAGCAGATCGAGCTCGTCCGCGAGCCTTTCTACGCTGACTACGCCGAAGTCCACGACGGCCGCCTCCCATTCGTTAATCCCGTCCCGCTAGCACGCTGGGGCTGGGGCGACAACCAGACCATCACCGTTGACGAGGCTGTTCACAACAAGACTATCTTCCAAACCTGGGCTAACGAGACTTTCCTCGCTCCATCACCTGAGACATGTTCTGAATCCCTAGTCATGTACGTCGGTTCCACCGGCGGCACCACCTACCGCAACACGTACTGGGACGAGCCCGGTGTGCCTTTTGGCTTTGGCAACAGTCGCATCTCGGTTATGGCGGAAGTGCCGGATTATGTTGTGCCGTTGGGTGAGGCGCCGTATAACTCGACGATTACGGGGCATGTGGAGTATTTGCCTGTTACGGCGAATTTGATGGCGGCTAAGGAGTGTGATGGCATGTTGTTTTCGCTTATTAATGAGTTGTATGAGGCGGGTATCTTGAAGGAGAGTAAGGTTGGACAGAGTGGGGTTACGGGTGGGGAGATCTTGTTGAGGAGGGATGGGCTGTGGTGAAAAGCTTATATATAAATGGAAAGCTCATGTGCATGATAATATCAACCCTCCGTCCGATATATGCGTACAGTTAATCCATCTCGTTGCAGGATTCACAAGGCTGTCATCCAGTCAAATTTCGAATCCCCCCCTTCGCCTCTCTATCAAACCTGAAACCTCCACCTCGGATGCCGATCCCCCATCTTAACATCCTCAACACTATCATGAAACCCGCCCGTCTGCGGCCTCTCCACCAACACCCTCTCTTTCTCCGCATTCTCCCTCTTCAACAACATCCACAACGCCGCTACAACCACCAGATTTAAACACAAATACCCCAGCGCAAAGCTATGCCCAAGCACATACCTCGGCCCCGAATTCGCGCGATACAACTGCGTCCCCAGCACCGCCCCCAGATTGCCAATGCTGATCTGCATAGCGTTCGCCGTTGCGCGCTTCGTCTGCCCACTGACGTTGATGGCGGGCCAGCAGAGAACCAAGGCAACGGAAGGGTAGATGCCGATGGCTGCGAAGAAAGTTCCCACGTAAGACACGCCTGGGCGTGCTTTGGGATCTGTGTTGGCGAGCAGGATTATGTACCCGATGATTGCGACGGTGGAGGTGGTGAGGATGAAGAGGGCGCGGCGGGCGTAGCGCTCGGAGAGGATGGCCCAGAAGATTGTGAAGAGGGTTGCGACGGCGTAGGGGGGGATGGTGAGGAGCTGGGATTGGGCGGATGTGTAGCCCATGTCGCGGATGATTGTTGGCTTGGGGGGTGTTAGAGTGGTGTGTCATGTGCATTTTGGGAGTTGGTTGGCTTACCAGAAATAGGGATAGAGTGTATAGTGGTAGACTCATGGTATGGAACGCGAAGGCGTAGAGCCAGATTTTGACGTCTTTTGCGGCTAGCAAGACCTCCGCCCAGGAGAATGCTTCGTCGTTCGTTGCGTCGCTATCGGCTTTGAGACGTGCTTGCACGAATGCTCTTTCTTCTTTGCTGAGCCAGCTGACGGTGGCGGGATAGTTTGAAATGAACCAGTACGCGATTATTCCGATGATGATTGTGAGAAGACCTTCCTATGCCGCTGTTAGTGACGAACTCATGAGCAGATTGGCGGGCGTACCAAGATGAAGATCCATCGCCACCCAGCGTAGCCTCCTACATTACGCATATGCGCAATGCCATATGCTAGGATCTGGAAGCGTCAGTACTGAAGATTGTATATATATGAGAGGTAGCATACACCACCAAAAGCCCCCGCAAGACTCGCGCAGCTAAAAAACAGCGAAATGCGATACTGTCGCTCATTGCGCTTATACCACATACTCAAATAATACACCACACCAGGAAACAGCCCAGACTCGGCCATCCCCAGACTGCAAGTCATTAGTCTGTCTCGCACAATCGTCTTATCCAGGCTACTCACAAGAACCGCACCGCAAAGAAGCCCGACAGGTTCTGCGTAACACCCATCAGCGTAGCCACAACTCCCCACACCACTGTCAGCGTAGGCAACCAGAACTTCGGCGTTGTGCGTTTGAGAACGATGTTGCAGGGTATTTCGAAGAGGACGTAGCCGATGAAGTAGAGGGTTAGGCCAGTGAGGTATTGGTTGCCTGTCATGCCTAGGTCGGTTGTGAGGCCTTCGATGCGTGCGTTGGCGACTGAGCTAATTGTTAGTATATTTTTATCAGCGCTGGGAAGGATGAGGTCTATACCATTGCTGCGATCAAGAAAGCTGAGCAGATACAAGATTGACACCGCAGGCAGGAGTCTTAGATCCAATGTCCTGAGTAACTTCTTTTCGTTGATGGCGCCAGGGACGATTTCCACATCGCTTGCGGAAGACGTCGATGCAGCAGGTGCATCGTTCTTCTCCGAAGCCATCGTCACGTTCGCACTGGTTTTCACGCGGAGGTGTCGAGACGTGAATTATCCATCCAACAACGCCCGGGCACAAAGGTCTACTTATCAACCGCACCACCCTCGCATCCACCGTAGCTCGCAATGATGCAAGAACGTGGGTCAATCAGCTCAAGCCGCGGCAGCGTCAAAACCGTCATAACCCAGGCCGCCCGGGCAAACCTCAGGCATGACGGCGAACTCTCATTGGAGCGCATGGCAACCCGCTTCCAATGCGAGATTTGCTGCGATTTAACAGGGCAATCGTCCTCGGCATTGCTGCATGGAATGGTGACATGTTACAAGGGCTTATGAATTGGGGTTGTACACGAAATCGAGAGGTGGTATGTCGTGATTGCATTAGCCGCTTGGGGTATAGACCCGGATGGACCACGTTGTTATTTGCTAGACAAGATACGTGACGATAGGGCAAGTAGATGGCTGATGTTTTACTTGCTGAGTCTGAAGCTGGAGGACTTTGCTTTCACCGTTTTGTGGGTCAGCGCTGTTATCTTTTGGCGTGCTGTGCTTTGGGCCGATGTTCGCAGGAGAGCGGGGGAACGATTCGTACCAGGCGGTTTGCTCGATAAGTCCACTAATGCGCTACCGTTTCCCTTTCCCTCCAATAATCCCAATACCCCTAATAAAGAAAACAACAACAGCCGTCGACGCAACACTCATGCCAAAGTTAAACCAAGCCGTCGTCCTAATACCCACCTTGAGCGCGTCATCCCAAGGCACCGTCTTATGACCCTCACCACCAATCTGATCCACACTCAACCCCTTCTCCCTAGCCACAACAGCCGTCTGTACCGCCGTCGCAATCGCCAGCCCAACCGCCCTCCCAATCTGACCCACAGCCGTAATAAGCGCCCCTCCCAGCGAAGCATCCTCCGCCGGCAGCGTCTTCGCCACAAACAACGTGAGAACAGGGAAAATGGTATCTGCGCCCGAGACACACAGTACCATAGCCGGGAAGCCATATGCCCAATACGTTGTATGCACCGGAATGGGGATTGCGAAAAGTAAGGAGGATATACTCACACAAATAGTACTGAATGTGAGTATATAATCGCCCGGCACACGAGACAGAATCTGCCCAGTGATGGTAGCCACCAGAATCCCCGTGATGCCATTCGGTAGAAAGCGCAGCGTGGTTTGAATAACGGAAAGGCCCTGGTAGTCCTGGAACCAGTAGGTTGCGAAGATGAGGTAGTTGTTGAAGGACGAGAAGAACAGCGCCATGAGCACATTGGCGGCAGTGAACTTGCCGTTCTTGAAGATACTCATCTTCATCAAGGGCCGCCGCTCCGTCTTGTGCTCGAGGTAATGCTGCCAGAAGCCGAATGCGCCGATGATGATCAGTGAGAGTACGATGAGGACTGGTACCCATGGCGTACTCCAGCCCACGACGTTGCCTTCGGAAAGCGCAAAAACGAGGATAACGAGACCGATGGTTATGAGCGATCCGCCGATCCAATCCACCGTGTTGCGCAACACGGGTTCTGGCCCCAACGGCGGAATCGGGATAACGAAGTAGCTCGCAACCGTAGAGATCCCCGCGATGATCCCAAACAACCAGAACACCCACTGCCAATCGAGATACTCGCCCACGACACCACCAAAGATATTGCCAAACACGCCTCCAAGTGGGGCTCCGGCACCAAAACATCCAAAAGCGATGTCTTTGGTCTTTCCAGGTGGGAAGGTAGAAGCGAGGATGCCGAGAGCGGTTGGTGCCATTGCGGCGGCGGCGAGACCCTGGAGACCGCGGAAGATGTCGAAGCCGATTTCATTGGGGATGAAGGGCGTTATTATTGATGTGAGTGTGAAGGCTGCGGAGCCCCAGAGGAAGATCATTCGTCGGCCGTAGACGTCTGCTAGACGGCCCCATAGTAGCTGAGTGAGCGGGTTAGGAGAGGGTAGATATATGAGAGAGATTCAGAAGACATACCAGGAAGCAACCAAACGTCAAGTTGTACGCAGAGATAATCCACTGCTGACGACTAACTGGAATATCCAATTCCTCCCCGATGGTAGGTAGGATGATAACGGATGCTTGAACCGCCATCGTCTACCCCAAGTTGATCAGTCTTCTTCCTCTCTTCTCCAACGAGATTAGTCGGGCATACTCACGCTCAAAAACGGCGCCGCAGCAATCGTGGTAACAAGCGCCACACACCGAGCTTTCGAAAACGGCAAGCGTTCAGAAGCCGATGTATCAACAGCCACAAGTCCATGCTCTTTCTCTGCATCATCCGCCATCTGGTGTGTCGCGGTGACCACCCGTTCCAGATCCGTGACGCCCTCCACAGGCTCCGGGGTCTTCTCTTCGCGTTTCGACATCTTCAGCACACACTACAAAAGATTTCATATGACAGTCGGCTGTCTCCACCATACTTCCAGTGGGGTAGCGCATCTTTATGAATGTTTGAAATCTGGGGGAAAGAATATGCCGAAGAGCTCGCTTGCCGACCGCCACAAACGCGCCTTTGCTAGTTCGGTTAAGGGTTTATCCGGGGGTGTGCAGGTGGAAAAGGTAGGCACAGTATGACAACAAGCTCTTGTTGTATGACGAATGGCAGTGTGATGCGGAAAAGGAATCCTGATCTGCGAAAGCACTCGTATAAAGATGTTCTCCGTAGTGGTAGTGTAGCGGGAGGAATGGTCTTACATTCCACCAATCGCAGCACGGCTTATATCAGCAGGGACTAATCGTAGATGTTCGTTGTCGGTATAGTAGCAGCTGCATGTCAACGAGCGCAAGAGAGAACGGCGACATGCTACACTAGGTAGTCAAGATCAAGATGAGAAGTCAAGACAGTGGACATAAATTCATTGCTCGTGCTATTACGTTCCAGTTCCATTCCAAGTCGTCAAGCAACCTCAATCGATGTATGCAAGAGGAGAACGCGACCGAACCACTGCTGCCCAAGAGCCAGCCATCAAAAGAAGGCGGCGGCGACATCATCAAACAAATAGTCTAAGCGCGAAAGGGGGTATGAAGAAGAGGGAGCAAAGGAAGACTTGTTTATGGCTTGTGGATGTCAATGACCATCTCGGTCTCGACAGTTTCCGCCTTCTTGGCGAACCTGGCGACATCGGCGCCCTCGACCTTGCCGTACATGGTCTCGGCGATTATGCCGGTGATCTGGTATGGGTCACCGTTGGAGGCCGGGCGGCGGTCCTCGAAGTAGCCCTTGCCCTCGGCTGCGACAGCGCGGGGAATACGCACGGAGGAACCGCGGTTGGCGACGCCCCAGGTGAACTTGTCGTAGGAGGCAGTCTCGTGCTTGCCGGTCATGCGGAGCTGGTTGTCTGAGCCGTAGACGGCCATGTGCTCGGCTTGGCGGGTGGACAGCTTCTCCATGGCGGCCTCGATGGCCTTCATGCCGTTGTCGCCACGAGTCTCGTTGGTGGAGACGTTGGTGTGCAGACCGGCACCGTTCCAGTCACCGGGGATGGGCTTGGGCGCAAAGGTAACCTTGGCACCGAACTCCTCAGCGACGCGGTGGAGCAGGAAGCGCGACATCCAGAGCTGGTCACCGAGCGAGATGTCGGGGCAGGGACCGACTTGGTACTCCCACTGGGCGGGCATGACCTCGGCGTTGGTGCCGGAGATGGCAATCTCGGCGTACATGCAGGCCTTGTAGTGAGCCTCGACAATGTCACGGCAGAAGACCTTGCCGGTACCGACACCGCAGTAGTAGGGGCCTTGTGGGGCGGGGAAGCCGTTCTTGGGCCATCCGTAGGGCCAGCCAAACTCGTCGAGAAGGGTGTACTCCTGCTCCAGACCGAACCAGAAGCCGTGCTCCTTGTGCTTCTCGAAGATGATGGCGGCGTCGTGGCGGAAGTTGTAGGCGTTGGGCGAGCCATCCGACATGTACGTCTCGCACATGACCAGGACGTTGTCGCCCAGACGGAAGGGGTCGGGGTAGTATGCAACGGGGCGGAGGTAGACATCCGAGTTGTCGCCGGGCGCCTGGCCCGTCGACGAACCGTCAAAGTTCCATTCTGGGAGGTCCTTCAGGCTTTCGACCTTGGACTTGAGCGTCTGCGTGCATGTCAGTATGAGCCTCGGGTAATCGGAATGAAGTCGGGTGGGATAAGGGAACGACGTCACTGCGGGCTGTGGCTGGTGGTGGGGTGCGATAAGAAGGAACGCCAAAACTCCCGGCAGAAGGAGCGATTGGCGCCATGTGCGTCACACATGCAGACCACCACGCTCGCGACTCCAGTCGTCGAATGGCTTCTCCAGATTGTGTATCGCACGGCACGTCGCAGCCAGTTGTTGCTCTCGGCTAGAACCTCGAACCGCAGACTAGACCGATCCGCAGCCGTAGCGTGGTACAATTGCCGCGGTATATCGCAGAGATCGTGGAGATCGGGTTGAAGGATCGGAAAGCTGGATAATGCTCACCTTTGACTTGGAGCGGATTCCGTTGGAACCGTCTATCCAGACGTACTCGGCCATGACGGCGCCCTTTTGGGGGAGGTCGAGGTACTTCTTGAGCTGCAATGCGCGTTAGCATGTGTTTGAACGTAGCACGCGAGCAGTAGACTTACGTTGGCCGCATTGGAGACAATCGTTGAGTTCGCCTAGAATATGGTCAGCAAAAGTCGCGTGTAGGAGCAGTCGGTGACACGTACCATGACTGTGGTTGTGTATGTGTGGTGGTGAGGGAATAGCAAGTAACTCTTGACTGCGACAAGACAAGGCAGTGGAGGGGTTATAAGAGGGGTCTCTGTGTGAAGTGGGGAGTTATGATGGGCAAGTAGATAAGGATAGCGGGCCTGGGGGTCTGTTATAAGGTAAGAATGCTGGATTGCTTTGACTGTCTCGGCCTGTGGCGGGGCTAGCCGTGCTCAGATACTACTTAGGCTGGCCGTAGCCAAGAGGCGTCGCCGAACTGTTTCCGTGGGATGAAGAAGCAATCAATGTCTCTAAACGCGCAACTTTACGCCGCATCCCAGCATGCCTTGCCCACTCTGCAATCTCTAGGCTTCCGCTAGCCACGGTTGTACCGTCTCTCTGGTGATATTGTGCCCAATCTCGCGTCGCCGGTTTCCAAGGCTTACCATAGGCCCACGCGGTCTTTGTCGCGCATCGTGATGTTGGCTGACGGGCGAACGCACAGACGCACAGCCTCACCAGCTTCCGAGTTTGAGCGATTTGACGCTGGGTAGCGTCGCTGTAAGGGCAGCTAATTTTATCCAGGTACTGCCGAATTGGTCATGCCCTTCGGTCTTGGCCCGTACCAACGACAGTTACGACACACCGCTCCACACGACTATTGCTTTGCGATGGCCGTTCGTATGCATCGCCAACCTGTGCCCAACACGAGCTGCGTAACCCTGAATACCCAGACCCTGTGCGTCCACGTCTCGCGACACCTGCATGCCCAGCTCGCTGTAGTGCATAACCGTCGCGCTGGGCAGGGCGCGCCGTTGCCCGGGGTTGACATCGGGGTGCGATAAGGCCGCTTCGGGCCAATGGCTGCAGTTGCAGTTAGTCCTGCCTCGTCATGGCAGCATCACGCAAACCGCTCAACGTCGTTTCTTGTAGTCAGCATCCGAGACTCTAATAGCCTTCCGACCGATGTGTCCGTTTTATTGTCTGGGACCAGAGGACGTGCATTATTCTAGAAGAGCGCTGGAAGTCTCTGTCGCTGGTGTCGTCTCGACTTCGATGGTACGGCTGGAAGATTCCCATCTCAACCCCACAGGTTTCCTGGCCCGCCGGCGACACAGCGCGCACGCGGCACATTCGAGTTGCACGAATTGCCGTCATCCAAATGATAATCCCTCTCCAACCCCACGATTGTGATTAATCCAGCGCGTTCGAGACATCCCGACAAAGGTAAAAAAGCCGCACAGCGACGTCGGCTCAACATTATCGTGCGTCGACGTTGGGCTTAGCGGGGTTGCGGGCGAGCCGTCGATCCGCTAGCACTGCATGCCCCCTGGCACCAGAGATAAGGGACATGGGCGAATTTCCATGTTACGTTAGCCTATCGAGTAACGCCGCCGGCCGTTGCGCCCTGGATGACATGCTGCCCGCCAGCGACACAACAACAGCTTTTCACAATGTCAATATCTCACAAGTAGCACCATCTGCGCAAGCGTCACATCACAGTTCACAAACAGCCTGACGTTTGACGTGAAGATCAGGAACCGTGCGTGTGGCGGTGTCATCTCCGCTTTAGGCAAGGCTGGAGGCCCGCTCGTGTGCTGGAGCGTGGTCGAGAATGCTTGTATTTCCCCAGATGATAGCTTGCGCTGATCCAGGGAGCCTCATCTGCATGGTTCACGCCAGGCAGCCAGTCAGCCAGTGGAGTGGTGGTGCTGAGCATGGACAGTGCTCACACGTGCGGCCTATACCAACCGGAGACGCAACACCACCAGACATTGCGACTCGTTCGCGAGACGATATCTAGCTGCGCTGGGAGATATGGAGGCCAATCTTCAGACGTCACAACGTCGATCCGTTCCCACCAACGCAGCCATCGGCGAACGGTGTCTCTGCCACATGGCGTTGGCCTCTGGGCTGCGTCGCTGCGATACCCGGCGTGCGCACAGAAGCAATGTGTGGCACGATCCCTCTGGTGCGGACCGGGACGATTGATGACCTGCAGCGCGATATGGGTGTGGTGGGGTGGCAGCAACGGGTGTACCTGCAGCAGCACAGGCTACGCTGGACGAAGCGCTCGGAACGATACGGGGGAAGATTTTGGCCATGGCCGACCTCCGGGAAGCTAGGCCTCCGGAAATGGCGCCAGTAGCATGGTGTTGGAAAATCCGGGGTAGATGTTGGCGTCGCTGCCGGATGGGGGTCGATGATGCTATAGGTTATGCGCACTGATCTCGCGTTAGTACAACTCCACCCGCTCACAGTCAATGGCGCAATTAGCTTCTCCGGATCACTGCCTCTGAGCTCCCGAACATGCTGGAGAAGTGATTGTCGGCGACTCATGGTCCACTGTATCAACATGGGCCAATCATGGTGAATGCCAATGACGCATTGACGAAGTAGCAGTTGCGACGCCAAACGTCGGGATGGAACAAGGGATTGCGAGCAGACGGTTCCGCGATATTGTCTCTGTCGCTGCACAATGAAGGAGACTCACGTAGTGTTTGCGTGTTTGTACACTGGCAATATGGTCCTGTCTGCGAAAGGTCAGTGTTCGTCCAATCACTCCCGTCGGCACCTCCAGGGCTTCGAATTGGTCGCTCAGATAAGACGTCCCCATCATACATCGGTACATGTGTTATATCGAACACGTCTATCATCGGCCCTGCTGCCATTGGGGTCGTGATAGAGTTGTAGGTGAGCCATGTTGTCGGTCTCGGTTCGTTGATGGACACGCCTTGGCGTGTACCTATGCCGAGGACATGGGATCGATTAACAGCAGCGAGTTCTGTTCCGACTGCAGGTACCGCCTCGCGAGTGGGACAACATGGCGGCCATTCGCTCACATCGAGGTGATGCTGCGCGAGAGGATGAAGGAGAGGACAGAGTAAGAGAAGGAAGACTGGAGTATGTCGTGGGGCCACGTGCTACCACCATCTGTTGTTTACCTGAGTGGTTTGTTCCAAAGTGGGCAGTAGAATGGGTATGTTCCTACTCCGCTCCTTTTGGTAGCGACAAACGAGAACGCGATGTCGTTCCTTCCGCTTCAGTTTTCTCAGCGCCTTGGTGAGCATGGGGCAGCACAATTCGGCGTTCGCTTAAGACGGTACAACTGAACAGTCCCCACTACAGGTCGAGCTGTGTTCTTTGAACAGAGGTACTTACCGTCCCACACTGGTGCAGGAGACCTTGGCTGGTGTCGCCAGCATCCCATCGCCATCACCGAACAGACTGCGAAAGGTGGAAGCACGAAACATCCTTGAAACGCGACGAAATCGAAAGAGCAGGGAGCGAACACTCGAGAAGAGAAGATTCAATCATGTTATGTGGTCATGTCGTGAAGTTGGGGCATGATGAGGGGAGGAAGCTTGGGCTGCAGCCGTGGCCAATGAGCGACTGCGATGAGGTAACAGCAACCACGACGCTCCTGCCCTGCGCGTTTTTTGCATCTGACTTGCGTTTGGAGACTATGTAACAGTATGGTGTGTTGATGAGGTATTCGCAAAACTACACGGCAATCGCAGTGGTGTTTCAAGTCCCATAACGTGCGGATGTTCGCAAATCGACTCGCGCCGCTCAGAAAGGTGAAGTAAAGCGAGAGGCTATGAGCCTGGTTTAACACCAGGATGTTTAGCTAGCAAGGCTCATGGAAGTCTAGTAGTTGCTGTGAAAGACTGTTCCAACGAAAGATGGGGTGACTTGGTTACGTACTCAATTGCGAATACATACACTCAAGCTTACAGTTTACTCAAGAAAGAGTTCCTGTATACGGGGAATATGTCAAAAGAAGGTGAACGCGGAGGATCTGCGGTTGCCCGATACGGACGTGGAGACAGGCACGCTTTACCCTCCCACTACGCGCACGAAATGCTGCTGGCTACATCTGTCTCACTCTCCTCTCTCTTGACAACATCCTCCACTCGAGTCTGCGCGCTTTCCCGCTACCAACACCGAGATAGCGGTGCAGCTTCGACAGTGAGTACCGCACGACATTCACTGAATCACTCACTGACCAAAGACTTGATAGCGCCATGGCTTATAGCAGCATCTACGACTATCGCGATGCGCCACTTGATGCACAACACCACGCAGGACGTAACGAGGTCTTGAAGCCGTCCATTCCCAACAACGGTGATCTATACAGACCCGACGGGTGGCCTTCGAACACTTTTGCGGAGAGAAGAACCCTTGCCGACCATGTCGTTCGAGAATATGCAACTCTGCGCAAGCTCCGACCAAAGACTCGGTCCAAAAGCCTCCTTGCTTCGCACAAGAAAGCACTTGTTGGAGTGGCAACATATCTAAACGAGATTAAGAAGATGGAGGTATCCGAACAATCCGTTGGCACCATGACGGAAGAGACAGATCAAGAAAAGGAGATGTCGCCGCCGCCAAACTTTCTAGCTGACTTTGAACTGCCCTCGCGATCACAGAGCGTTACCTCACCGGCAGACGAACTCGAATCTCCACAGATCCAGACTTCAGACGGCATCGCCAAACTCCCCAGCGCCCTCAAACAAGAGTCCCTCCGCTCCGCCAAGTTCTACTGAGAGGGTCTCAAATTCCAAAGATGAGGCCGGTCAGGCAGAGTCAGGCAGTGCGTGCGCAGAACAGGCGAAGAAGCGATTGAGTGGCCGCAGCTTGAAGGAGGTTGCCAAGGGTGTGTTGAAGGGTGTGACGAGAAAGCTTGGAAGTCGCGGTGATGCAAGCAAGTAGACTATCAAGACGTACTAGTGGAAGCCTCGCTTAGAGGCAATCCATCGATGCGAACTAGGAGGGTTGATTCTGTACTTAGCAGCACGTACAAGTAGAGCCCATATACCAGACAGACCTCGTCTACTTGCTGCGTATACGCTGTCAATTGTTTGGAAAAGGGGGAGGACGTCCAACAATGTAGACGCCAACTTTGAATGTATCCTAGGCAACGAACGTAGGAAGCGGCGTGGTTCTGCTAATTAAATTGAGAAAGTAGCTGCACGCCTTGTGGTGGCTTTAAAATCCGCCGCTGACGCAGAGTGTGGCGGAGAAGCTAGTCGCGGCTGCCCTAAAAGGTGTTTTTGTAGATGTGACTATATCCTCACGATCTGCACTCTCAGAACGGCGACGCCTTCCATACTAGCCCAGCCTATACAAACTGCAGTATGCCGAACGGCCTCTCGAACCGTAGTTGTCCAGCTCCAGCTCAGCCCAGCCCCTGAGATTAGCGAAAGGATGCGCTGACTCGTCGCGAACCACGTCGGCGGGACGCGTGACCCTGGGTCGGCAATACAGCCCTGGAGGTGTCTGTCGCAGACGTGTCTTGTGTGACGGTCTCGCGCCGAAAACACGGCGACTTTGTTTCGCAGCACGATAATATCCGTCCCGGGGATGCAGGGTGGCTGTTGGGCAAAAAGAAAAGCTGCAGGTACGGCGAGCGTGGTGCGCGGAACGAAGACGTGGTCCTGGTCCCATGGTGCGACGACTCCACCTTGACTGGCCACACTTTGGTAGACAGCTACTAGACATGTACTGTAATATGTAGAGCGGCTTTACGCCGGCGTGGCACAAAGCCTGTCTTAGTCTTGCTGTCTGCTGTGGAGGGCGAGAAGCCACTTTGGACTACGGGCAAAGCAGCTAGGCCAGGGCACATTGCAGGAGACTACCGTCCAGGATCGCCGCTGGGATGTCTCTCACAAGCCGTGACAACCCCGATTCTGGTCTGATACTCTTTTGCTCGCCCAATCTCCCATCTGCCGTTTGCCCGTGCTTTTGCCCGTTCTCTTGTTGCTTGAGTGTCGAATTCATGATAGCAATACCGTAACTTTGTGGTAGTAGTAGCGTGGAGCGCTGTTCTTTTCTTCGTGCGCGCTGCAGCCCATATTACTCTGCCTAATCGATATCCCCGTTTCCCGACGTGCATGCTCGACCTCCTGCGCCATGCATCGACACGCCCTGTCCGAGACGACTGGCATGGCGGGAATGGCCTCGTCGCGCTCGTCGCGGAGCCACAGCTTCAGCAGCGACAAGACGCCCTCGCTGGCCAGCTCCGTCACCTTCCAGATGCCCACGACGGTGCGGCCTGCGCCGGCCTACATTGCGGCATCCGTCGCCTCGCAGACGGTTACCGACCACCACAATGCCCAGCTGCGCGACCAGGACGCCGACACAGACGAGCTGCAGAACGCCATCTTCTCGGAACAGGCATTGGCCCTCCTCAATGCCTTCCTCGACCACCTGCTCTTCGCTTTCCTCTCTAGTGCGCGCTCGCCCGCCCTGACGGCCATCCGCCCCGCCGTATCCGACGTACTCAAGCCGCGCCTGGCCCGCGATGCCATTGAGGCGGCCGACGAGGAGCTGCAGGGTCTGCTGGCCGGCGAGGACGACGACGAGCTCTCCACAGCACATGCCCGGGCGGCCGAGCGGTGGGACGTGGAGAAGGTGTGGAAGCGCACCCGCCTGCGCATCATGGTCTACACCCGCCTGGGCGAGCTCGAGGACGAGGACGAGGAGCGATACGTCCAGCAGGAGCGCGGCCTCAGCATGGACGACGACGAGGACGACGAGGCTGGGCTGGTCGCCTGGGCCTCTGCCATCTTTCTCACCTCGGTCATCGAGTACGTGGCCGAGCAATTACTGCTCGTTGCTGGCTCGGCGGCCTTTTCGCGCATGGCAGCGCGGATGAAGAAGCTGGCCCAGCAGAACGACGACCACGAGCAGCAGCTCATCGAGCGCCTAATCATCGAAGAGCCCGACGTGGAGAAGATTGCCCTCAACTCGGCGCTCGGCAGGCTCTGGCGGACGTGGAGGAAACGCGTGCGCTCCCCCATCACGCCCATGTCCCCGCGAGGTGTCCAGCAAGCCCCAAGCTACTCGAGCCTGCACCACCGCAAAGCCAGTCGCGAGACCATCAACACCCTACACAGCGAGCATGAGCCCCTGCCCGAACACCCCCCTACCGAGACCGACATCGCCGCCAACATACCCCTCCCCATCGGCGACAACAACGTCAACGAGATCGAGGTGCCTGGCCTGGCGCCGACATATGAAGACGGGGCCGAGGGTTCAGGCATGCAGACGCCCGTCCAGCGTCCGCAGCGGCCGTCCAGTGTCCTTTTGCTGTCTTCACTGGTGGAGTCCTCCATCAAGAGCAACAGGCCCCGTCCCTTGTCAATGCCGCTGCGTCAGGCACCGCAATTCACTATGCCCGCACAAGCTGAGGAAGAAGATACCCCCCTACAAGCGACGGAGGAGACTGCACAACAAGATTCTGAGGATCAACAAGACGAGTCGTCCGAGGAAGATGCCTCCATGGTGGCATTCGCGGCGGCCACCGGCATGGGCTTCCGAAGGAGCGCAGTAGGGCCGTCGCAGGAGCCAGAGCAACAAGTTGAGACGGTTGAGGAGAATGAGAAGGCTGAGCAGGCAGATGAGACGCACGAGGCGACCCCCGAAAGCCCGCCCCAGGTCATGCGGTCCAAGAGAATGTCAATCGAACGACCCGGCCCTCCAGGACTGGTGCGCACTTTCTCAACCCGCAGCTCGAGCCTCAAATCGCCCGTTGGAACCCCCTTGGCAACACCAAAAGCCCCTGTCCACTCTGAAGGGCGATCCTATCTCGACGACGAGCCATCAGACGACGAGCCAGAGCAGCATCGTGCCATTGGCGTAGCGCGAACGTCGGACAGCGTTATACGGTCAGCGTCGAACTCCCCCAGCGATTCGCCCCATGAGCGCAGGAGACCGGGCAGTGGAGGCTACGTTGAGGTGCCACCTCGAGACTTCACGCCGACGTCGCTCACGTACAGCAACACTCCCTCACCTGATAGCAAGCCCAACGTGCCAGACCGTTCCGTGGCACGCAAAGAGGTCAACAGAAGGTCTTTCACTGGTGCCGAGTTGGTCCCAGGCCCCGCCGCATACGAAGGTCCCACGAGCGCACCGAGGAGACAGGATCTAGCTCGCTCAGCATCGCGTGGTTCGTCACTACCAGCGCTGCAGGAAGTGGAGAGCAACACTCCACAGCACAAAAGGAAGACGCCGTCGATTCACACGAGCCGTAGCGTGCGCACCTCGGACAGTCCCAGGCGAAGTCCTACTTCTGCGACTGACACATCCGAGCGACGAACGAACCGCCTCTCTACTGACGACTCGGCTCGTTCTCCGCATGTGGCCGATAAATCCTCTTCGGACAACTCCTCGCTGAAGCGCGGTACATCGACCTCTTCTTCACTCCGGAAGCAGGGCGCTTATCCCGTCGTCTCAAGCGGACGGGAGTCCATTGGAAGCCACCGCTCCCGTGGACTGAGTGGTCGCATGTCTGAAGAAGACCGCGCCCGCGAATTTGACTCTTTGGTCAAAGGACAGGATACGGTAAAGTTTACATTAACCCCCGAAAGCGTGCGAACTGCTGATGTAAGTCGTGCTTGCTTCCCTGGACCACATGTGCTAATGATCTGTAGAAGGAATCCCCCGTCGTCAAGAAGGCGGAACTACGCAGGCCCTCCGCATCTTCCGTAACTGTGTATCCCCGCGTCAATGCCGAAGACAAGTCGTTTGGCACTGCGAATCTGCCCAACACCACAGCACCGAGAGCCAAGGGCCCTACCGCCGCCAAACACAAGCCTTCACCCAGTCGGAAGGTGGTTACCAGGCCGCTTGCAAGAGATCCGAAGATCGAGTCTGAGTCTATGCGTGACTTTGCTGACTTTATTCGGTCGACTGGACCTTCTCCTGGACAAGAGAAGCCCGTGCAGCCCTTTGTCAACATCAGTGGGAATGGCCAAAAGTCGGGCAACCAGTCGACCTCGTCTCTCGGACGAAAGATGTCCATGTCCAAGCAGTCCAGCAGCGCCAACGGATCAGCCACGCGAGCACGCCCAAACATGGAGCCGCGCAGTCCCGCAGGTCTAAGCACCGGCAACGGCGATCTCATCGACTTCATTCGCCAAGGACCCCCCGACGCAAACCACGGCCAACCAAGAATCCCGCGAAACGTCGCGCCCTTCCGTACAACCGTTGATTCCGACCAATTCGAGACAATGCTCGGTGGCCACGGCAACGTCGAATCAGCATACGGCTCCGCTTCCTCAACCCTAGAATCAAAGGACAGCACGCAAACCATCAATTCACGCACCGGCCTCATCCCCTCTCCCAGCGTCGTCCAGCCCGCGTATTCCAACCAACCCCAACAACTCACCGGCAGCATGTCCGGCCCCGACGAACCGCACATCACCCGCACGCGTCGCCGCGTCAAAGACCCCTACGCCATCGACCTCTCCGACGAAGACGAAGACGACGAGGATGAGGATGAGGATCAATTGACGGCTCTTCCTACGCCGACAAACCAACACCCGCCCCAGGTACAAAGACAACAGGCTCCTCCTTCATCGCGACCGCAAGCGCCCCGGCAGGAGAGTTTGATGGATTTCTTAAACGGGATGGACCCCCCGTCGACCAGTAAACCCCAACCTTTTATGCTTAGTGAAGAGACGATTGCTGCTGCGCGTGCGCGTGCGGCCGCTTCTTCGAACCCATCCTTGTCATCTGCCACATCCACTCCGAGGAATAACTACGGAAACGGCAACCCTAACGGCAGTGCGCCAGCATTCGGCTCCATTTCCTCATCCAACTCCGGCTCGCACAACAAACCAAGGCCACAGGCTAGAGCTCCTGCTGTCGCTGATAATATCCGCGGCGGTGGTGGTGGTGGATCGAGAACGGCGACGAGTGACCTCGCCGACTTTTTGAAAAATAGTGGACCGCCGGAGATGCCGCCGCAACGGCAGGAAAGGAAGGAGGAGGAGAAGAAGAGTAAGAGGTTTTGGAGGAGGGGGAAGACTTATGGGGATTTGCCTTAGGATTTAGGTTGAGAGGGAGGATGGGAGGGGGGAGGGTGTGAAGGAGTGGTTTTGTGACTTTTTATTTCTTGGATACCCGGGTTTTGGATGGTGTTGATTTTTGGTTTGGGAGTGGAGGGTGTTGGATGTAGATGTGTGTATTTGTTGGCCTGGCCCGCTCATATTGACTTGTAATGAATCATGGTTTTTATTTATGGAATGATATTGTTTCTTTCTCTCGTTACCAAAGTTTAAGTAAAGGAAGATGGGTGGTGAGATTTATGAGTACTGTATCATTCAACGATGATCCGACGAGACGAGACGAGACTCAGCTCCAAAACGGACCCATACTTTCCTCTTGGTTTGATGTGCGTTGCTGTCCTGACGCCGACGCTGACGCTGACGCCGCCGTCGACGCCGTCGTCCCAGCCGTGTTTGGCACACTTGTTCTCTTGTTAGCCAGTCCGTTTTCTAAAGACAAAGTGAGAGGGAAAGAGAAGAATGACATACACAACCTCTCTCAATCTCGCATCTGTAGCCGCGGTACCGGGTGTGCGACTATACAAATCTACGACGTAGCCTACGATCTGTATCTCTTTTCGGACGTATGGACTCGCTCTGAGAGCCTGAATATCCGTTCTGATAGTGGTCTCCGGAGCCGCTGTGAGATGTGTACAACCTAAGCAATCATTCATGCATTAGTCCGCATCTTCCACCGCTTCTCTCGGTCGTTCAAGTTGGAGTGAACATACCGGCATGCCCCATCGCAATGATCAGTCCCAGCTTTGAAGATTGGTCAGCCCAATAGATGCTGTTTATAACTTCCTGCGTTACGCGGCTGCCGGAAGTGGTGTGGATTGTGGCGTGCGTGGTGTTGAAGTGATGGGATGGGTGGAGTAGGGCAGATGTACTGGATTCTGTGCAGCAGACTAGCATAATTTCAAGGTTAGCAGGCAGATTATGCGTACGTGCGCTTTCGACGGAGAAGGGTTAGGGTTATATGGCTGGGAGAAGAGAAAACTTGGTTAGTTAGTTAGTCACTGACCGATGAATAGGCCGCCGGAGGTCGACATGACTGCGGAGTGATGGAGTAGCAGGTTGGGTAACGGTGTGTATTGTTATGGGGTAGCTGGGTAGATGAAGAAGAAGGAGAACAATGGAACTATATGTAGGTGGATGGGTCTTGGTATACAATGAGTATTGTCGAACTCTGAGTGATAATATCGTTGGTGCCTCCTTATTTTATATGGTATCGGATTATGTTAACCTTGGAACAGTCTGGTATCTCATGAACCATCCATCCGAAGTCTCCATCACCTATCACCTACCCACAACGTCCACGTAATCAGCACATAACCACAAAACACCGCCACTCCCTCTCCCACTCCCTTTCTCATCATCTACAGCTGACCAAGCAACACATCTTACCTTGCCTCTTCCTTCTTTTTCTTCGCCTCCCACTCGGTGAGAACGATTGAAGTTGATTACACGAACCTTAGTCTTAATCTCCCCCCATATCAACACATATCAACACGAGAGAGGATAAGGAAAGGCCAAGGCGGCGTGCATGCATAGCTAGGTATATGCGCGTTCTAGACGTCCCGTACGTTGGCGCCAATGTATGTATCTACAAATCGAAGATATGTATGGTAAACTAAAATATTTAGTTCCTTTCTGAAGTAAGCGGCTCGTCTACGCGAGAAGAGCGGCGCCGGGTGCCGTAGTACAGTAGTAGTCGGCGTGAATGTATGAGTGGATGGATGCGTGGACGTACGGATGTATCAACGCCATGACCTTCGCTATGTTTAGCAAGCAATTCAAATACTCACCCAGTAACACATCCGCGATAACGCCATACCACCTTTTACTCTCCTCTCAACATCTTCGTCCTAAGTCCTCTCGGCCCCGAACTCGGATATCGCATCGCAAAATGCGCCCGTACGAAGCAGACCAGACCTGCATGAAGCCACCGACCCTTACCAACCCCTACCAACCTACCCTTTCCCGCCTAGTCAGGTACATGTGTATTTGTGTAAACTCGCAATCCATTACAAAGCCATCTATTCCAACCCTCCATGCTGCATGGCGTCATACCACCCCTCTGCGCATGATGACGCTTTCCCCAAAGAGGAAAGGCACGATGCATGCAAGTGACGGAAACGGGCTAGTGGGGTAAGCTGACGGGTTGATGAATAACACAGGATGTTGTGACGTCTACATGATTGCTGTAAGTGTTCGGGCCTGTGGGAAGTGGCTCAGACGAGGTGCGCGATGTAGATGCATGTGAAGGGAATGGGGGTTTGGGTGGGTGATGATATGAGTGTGTTTCGGCATCGTGGTTTGTCAAGTCTCGGCATTAATGCAGTATCACTTAGGTATAGACAGGCGAGGGAACTTGCGTTCAGAGACATAGAGCGGCACAGCAGCTACTCGCATCGGCATGGATATGGCGTTCCCACCTCCCCATCTTCAACACGTTACCAGAAAACAACGATACCCGCGCAGATACAAATACGTCGATTCGGGCGCATTAGCGGGCGGAATGCAAGGCAAGCAGCAAGGGTCCATCCGTTAGCGATGCGTAGCCCCACTGTTGCGTGGCTGTGGCTTGCAGTATGTAGCTTATCGAAGGGATCTCCGCCGCTACTTCACGCATGCATACGGCGGCTTTGTGGTGTTGTTGCTGTAGTTGATGGATGATGACTTTGCAGTGACAAATATGAGGGGAGCATGGGGAGGGGAGAAAAAGGAATGGCGGTGTTGTGTTGATTGTGGTGTTTGTAATTACTGATTAAGGCTATGGGGGATGTGATGGTTGGTAGTGTTGTCTCTGATCTCTTGTTCAAGTGTTTACTTCGCTATCCAGCGATGTTGGAGGTAAATGCTGTCCTTGTATCTTCGCTGCGGGGTCTCGCGAAGGTTATGCAGTTTCTTGTCGGGCGGATGAAGGCTTCGGTTGCTGATTACAATGAGGCATGTCTGCGACCCGTTGGATACACAACTTCAAACTGGAGGATAGAATGTCGTTCGTCATCTCGACCCGTCAAACGAAAACTTCTCGACAACCTTCATGGCTGCGCTTTATACTGCGGCGGCAGTGATCGCTCGCTCTCGTTTGCTGATAGGACTCGAAGTGGTATAGCGATAGTCGTAGAAGATACCTCAGACTTTGGCTGATAGGGCGGCGGCGCTTCTCCATGCTCATCCAGTCCCTCAGTTGGGCGAAGGAGAACAGAGTTGGTGGCCCCGTAACGTCCGTGTAGCAGCCTCCGTGTGCCAGGCCAGGCTTCCACGTCTCTCGCCGATGCCTGCTGCCCGTTCTGACTCGAGAGCGCCCGACGTCGGACGTTGCGGCTATGGATGAGCCATGCTGTGACAAGGATGAGGACTGCGAGGATGATGAGGAGGAAGTAGTAGTTACTGAAGTAACTGACGTTTTGGCGTTCTTCTGGGTAGAGTTCGGCGTCGTCCTTGTCATCGTCACGGGGGAAGATGCTTGGTTCAGCCGCTGAGGGCGTTTCCGCGAGCAGACTGAGGTAGACCATTGCCGTTGGTTGAACTACAGTGAGCGTAGTGTGGGTATTGAGTGGAAATAGCGAAGCATTCGTAAGGTTGCCCCAGTGAAACTGTTGTACGAGGGGCGAAGGTAGTGATTAGGGCATGGGCGAGGTGACAGTGAGAAACAGCCTGTTCGCGGTTGTATCGCCTGCATTGTCCGCAGCATTTGCTACTTCTTCAAGTAGCTGGTGAAGGAGCCGCGAAGGAGCCATCTTTGTGTGGCATCTCATGGAAGGAAGAAATTGAACAGGTCTGCAGCCTTCATCATGATAAAGCTGAACACCCTAGAGCGTACAATGACGTTAGGTTATCAGCCTTGCATATCTCCATATTTGCAAGGTGGGAGTGTTGAAGTGATGCACCGGAGACATCGGGATGGCGTGCTGGGGCTTGCAGATGATGGCGCCAAGCAATCGCGTCAGTTGCGCGCTCGCACCCTGTTGTCCAGTCTTCTACTTAGCCACCTGCACCCCGCAACCTCGCACCACACTCCAACATGGTCAAAGCTATTAGAGGTATGTCGCGCCTTTTTTACAGTCTTCGCTATGCTGATTTCCCAGGCACGCTCGTCAAGTGCGACGCTTCCATCAAAGCCATGCTGGTGGACATTGACAGCAAGAACAACAACGAATACATCATCGAGGAGCTCGACGAGGAGCACATTCTGGTCAAGGAAACGAGGATCAATGAGCTCAAGGCTCGTTTGAATCAGGTAGGTGTCGTGTTCATATGGTGTGGTCACTGCTGACAGTCACAGATGATGAGAGAACGCTTGAAGGAACCAGAGAGTTCGGACTCCGAATAGACGTCTGGCTTATGGCTCAATGCTATCAAGATAAACCTTATTCCCGACTCTCTTCCCCGCTTTCGACCGTCGACCGCTCGATCCTTACATGCCCGCCTTCTGCGCCGCGCTCTCCTGGGAGCCTACCCACTTCGGCCTGTGGTCGACGTACAACTCGGCGTTCATCGTCATGTTGTCGAGGATCTTGGTGTCGTCAAGAGTTCCGACCTTGATGATGCGCTTGCCGGCAAAGGTGTCACCTTGGCGCCACATGGTCGAACCACAGTCACCGCTGCACGAGGTCAGAACAGGACTCGCTATACCGTAGCGAATACATACCAGAACATGGAAGTTACGTCGTTTCCACTGTCGCCCTTGACCGTGTGTGCTTTGGGCGTACCCTTGGTGACCTTGAAGCCCTCGTCCGAGTAGACGGCGTTGGTTGAGTAGGCGGATCCGGTGATCTTGCGGCAGTCAAGGCAGTGGCAGAGGATCTGCGTATCTCATCAGCAACAGAAGGAGAATTGTTAGGACACTACGCACGTTGCCTCCGCTCTCGCCCTGCACCTCGTAACGGACGTTACCGCAAAAGCATCCTCCGGCAGGCATCTTGAAGTATTGGTGGAGTGGGAAGCTGGTTGTTGGAGTTGTTTAGGCTGTAAAGGTTGGAAGAGCAAGTGTCGTGTTGGATTGCCTTCACCTCGGGCTTTATACTCGAGTTCCTACCCCGCTGTATCGATCGTCAACTTGGACAAGAAGCGCCCTACGCATCCAAGTTCCCCACCACTGGCCTAGCGCCGAGGCCTGATTCGGTTCAACCGCGAGGGTCTGCCGCCGACGCATGACGGGTAGAGGGAAGCCGTCCGCTTATGCTGCTTACGGTTGAGGGGCTTTTTGCTGTCATTGGCAGTTCTAGGTCTGGCCATATTTCTGGTCGGGTTATGATACTTTGCTTGGACGAGGGGCAATTCCAAATCAAACACTCTCACACCCATGCGGACCGATTGACAATTAGAATATGTTTGCTTGAGCCGAACATGCCGACTATGCCGCACGGCTGTGGCGTGAGACGAGTGCTTACTGAGAACAATGTACCTTGCTTTACTACTTATTCGAAGATGATACACTGCGCATGTGTGTAAGCCACAGTTGAACAGCTATGACGTTGCTAGACGGTTTGCGGAGCGGGGTTTTCCCAATGCGGTTACGGCTAGTCGAAGCACGTGAATTCGAGTCAATTTGGCGTTTGCGCGCAGCCCGACCTCTACCTGTGCACTCAGTGAACACTATGCGATGGACGACCTCGCGCTTTGATCAACCCGGGTCGTTGACCGCCTCTACTCCATCTACAACTGCCTCGTCGACATGGCTGGCAACGCACCCAATGTCTGGACGCAGATGAACTATGTCCCTCCCCGCGGCCAATGCAATCACAAGCCGTCTCTGCTCGCCGCCAAATGCCCGTGTTTGCGCTTCATGTTGCATCCGCTGAAGGTAGGTCTTGTAGCTCTATACCGCCAGTATACTAGCTAACCAGCATTCCAGTCATCGTCCTCATACGAATGCGACGGATGTGGCCACCACGCCTCCTTCCACACCATGGAGAACAAGACCGAAGACGAGATAAGGAAGCGCTGGGAGGTCGAAGCGAAGGAGCGCACCGAGCAAGAAGCGCAGCAGCCACGGCCAAAGAAACGGGTTAGGGCGATTGAATACAACAATGAGGAAGGGGTGGAGGACATCTTCAACGAGCTCTTGCTGCAAGAAGCTAGGACCAAGAAGGCTGCTCCCAAGAAGAGAACGGGGAGGGCTGCGGGGACTAGGGCAAAGGGAAAGATTAGTGAGATTCTTGAGGACGATGTGGTAGAGTTGGACTGAGTTGGAACAGTGCAGATGGAGCTGGCGTTCAGGTTATTGGGCTTAGGCCAGGCGTCGTGTTATGATACCCCGCGCATATATTCGTGCTTTACACATGGAAACGTATTCAGTACTCTGGCAGCATGCGTCTGTAAAGTTGGGGTGGGCGTCCTGCCCTGCTTGGGACGCCAAGGCCCAGCAAACCGAGGGCGTACCTTGGGCGCAACACCTTTCCTCCTCGCTTCATGATTATGCGCGCAACATGATATCGTAACACCCACCCCTCACTCAACTGCATAATTAATTCACGCAGTGCCTTGTGCACTCTCCACGCCCATCATGGCCACGCCAACGCCCAAAGACAAAGAAACGCCCTCGCGACACCTCAATGCCTTCTCCTCGCCCGCCCCGCGCAGCGTCCCTCCTTCCGGTAATATCAACATGATGTCGTACGACTCGCCCGCGGTGCTTAACATGCTCAACGACGTCGCGAGCTCGGGCATGGGAGGCGTGGGCATGGGCATCACCATGAGCGGGCTGGGCATGTCCAGCTTGGGCATGAGCGCAAGTGCCATGGGACGCGCCGACGAAGCTGAGCGAAGCCGCAGACTGCGCGAAATCATAGACATCATCGGCAAGAAGCCCGGACGCGTCAGCGAGCAGGGACTGCTGGCCCTTTGCAAGAAGATGGACATACCGTGCGAGAAGCACATGGACGAGGCAGGCACCTGGAGTCTCTTGATCGGAGACGAGGCCCTGTGCGACGTCACCTTCAAGAACGACGAGATCGTCAGCGTCAATCTCCAGACCGGCCTGGACGAATCGAGATCCGACCTCAACTTCGGCACGACGGGCTCTGAGATTCTCGTGCGCAGCTTGAAGCCCCTGCCCGGCCAGAGCAAGCTGAACGTCACGCTCGAGCGCTTCTCTGAGAGCTTGGAGAAGCTGCTGACGCTCGACAAGCTGGGCTCACCGCAGAACGGCGGGGTCAGCTGCTACAATGCGATTGCGGGAGTCTACACGAGCCTTCGGAAATTGTTTGAGCATGAAAAGAAGACGGAGCTCGCAAACAGGAAGCCGGACGAGCGGTTCAGGACATACAGGGCCGAGCGTGAAGTGTTGTGCAAGAAGAGCGGACGACCCAGGCTCAACGGCGGATCGTGTCTCGGTCTAAGTCTGGAATACTGGATGGATGGACGCGCGCAGATAGATGGGCCGACTGAGTCTGCCTCGTACCCGGAAGACCATCGCTGGAGTCGCAACAAGATGTATTCCCTGACCATCGAATGCGAATCCTCGCCCTCCACCCTCTACACGCCGATCCGCATCTCCGACGACTGGATCAGCGACGCTGTTGAGAAGTCAGCCGACGCAGACGCAAATGTCTCCCTAGACAATATGCTGATGAACGCATCTTCGATAGACTGGCTCGATCCAAAGCCAACCTACCTCGAACCTCCCGAGCAGACCGACGATGCCATGAACCTCGACTCCGCAGCTGGACGCCTCCCCAACGTACGCTTCGTCGCCAAGTTCAACCCCCCTCTCGTCGTACCGCTCGCTGTGCACATGCAGCTATACCAGATCGTTGGCATTGAGCCTCGCACCGACGACTTCCGACCTACCACATTCGCAGGCCTGGCTCTGAGGCCAGGCGAGGTAGATCCAGGCATGTCCAATACAACAGGCGACCGTACCCACGAGATACGCAGCTCGCGAAAGGTTCTAGTACTAGAGCAAGACGCTTCTGGACGCGATTTGGACAGACAACACGACATGAGTCTCTACATACCCAAGCTAGAATATAGCCGCACGCTCGAAAGCCTGCCCTTCAGCCATCCGAAGCAACTCGTCGAGATGCTGCCCGTGCTAAGACAGTACGCGCATGTCACATCACTCATACGCGACTGCTTTTACCTCGCACCCGAAAAGCCCGTTCCGACCCACAAGCTCGGCCAGCATCCCACACCAACAGCTGCACCGCAGACGTCCGCACAAGGCGACCTACCTCGTCTCCAACTCGACGTCACCCTAAGCTACAACCCGCCTACACCACGCTTCACCCTACACGTCCCCCACCCCGAAGCCGTAACATCTTCCCCCGACGTCGCAGACCTCATCTCCAACCTCCTCTCCTCCTCCACCTCCACCCCAGTCTCCACACCAATAACATACAACGCGCCCCTCGCCGTCACAATCGACATCCACCCCAACGGCGAACTCGTCGTCGTCGAGCAAAACATCCACGCCCACCGCGACAGTCCGGAACAAACTCAAGCTCAAGCAGACCTCTTGGATCAGAAATCGAAGATTCTGTCGAGAGTACTAGACGCAGCGGACGATCTGGGTGTCTGGGCAGAGTGGTTGAGGAAGGAGGCGCTGAGGAATAGGAGGAAGGATTAGGTGGACTTTCTGCGTGGACCGGTGGTTTATCAGAGTGAGGAGGAGATGGCAGGATGGCGGGCTTGGGCTAGGCAGAATGGCTGGGATGGGGAGAGGTGGCATGGAGGGGGGGATGGGGGGATGGGGGGATGGGAGGGGATGGTGGGATGGGTGGTCCGATGGGATGGAGCTGGAGCACGTCCTACGCAGGAAATATGCGATACTTTTGAGAATTAGGCTCAATATAGCTAGGCGCACGCCAGCCAAAATAGGCTTAAGTGTCGCATCATGGGTGGGTGGGGGAGGAGGAGGGGTGGTGGTGGATGTCTTGCGTAGGTCTTACATGATGGATCTCCCGTTTTGAACAACATCCATCTGTGGCTCTGCGATTTAGGAGACCTAGAGTTTAGACTCACCCCCCTCCCCCTCCCCCTCCAGCCTAAACACCTTCCCCGGATACAAAATCCTGGGTGGGTGGGGGTGGTGGAGGGGTGGTGGTGCATGTAATAGGAAATGGATGTGAGGTGGATGAGTGACTGGGGCGTAATCATAGCAGTCCCATCATATCTTCCTTAAATCACACTTACAGCTTCGCTCCACCCCCCTCCCCATCCAGCCTAAACACCTTATCCGGATTCAAAATCCCCCTCGGATCCAAACTTCTCTTAATCCCCCTCATCACCTCCACACCCTCACTGCCAACCTCTTCCTCCAGCGCCTCCCTCAACTTCATCCCTATGCCATGTTCGCCTGTTACCGTACCCTCTAAGCTAAGCGCCAGCCGAGCGATGTCGTTGATTACGCGAATTGCGGCGGAGTAGTGAGAGGAGGGGCAGATGATGCTGGAGTGCACGTTTCCGTCCCCGATGTGGCCGACATTCGCACAGAACCAGTCCGCTTGATTCGCAGTCGATGCCTGGTGAATGAGGGACTGGGTTCCGGCGACGAGGCGGGATAGATTTGAGATGGGAACCGCGCAATCGCTGTGTAAGAAGAGATCAGTGGGTTGTTGTTTCATAGCAAGAAGAGCCGTGCCCATGCATTTCCTCGCTCCCCAAATAACATCCATCTCGTCTTGCTCATGCGTGATTTCAACCTTCGATGCGCCATGTGTTTTACACAGCTCTTGCATAACGAATATCTGATCCTGAACAATCCGCACCGACGGCCCCGCAATCTTAAAAAACAGCGTCGGCACCTCCTCAAACATGCGCGCGGGTGCGAGTCCAGACACGTTAACACACTGCATCTGCGGCCCGTCCGCCAACTCCAATGCTTCAAGCCGATGCCCTAGTTTCTGCAACGAAACAACCACATCCACACCTTCTTGGAACGTCTTGAAAGTGGCTAGTCCGACATGCAGGTTCCGCGGTAGAGGCGCAAGACGCAACACGGCTTCTGTGACGAGAGCAAGAGTGCCTTCAGAGCCGATGACCAAATGTGTGAGATCGTACCCGGCAGATGTTTTCCGCGGTCTGTGATGCGTTTTTATGATGGTGCCGGAGGCGAGGACAAGGGTTAGGGAGATGACGTTTGAGGCCATGGTGCCGTAGGCGTAGGCGTTTGTTCCGGAGCAGGACATTGATATCTGGCAGATTCCTCTCTGTCAGCATACCTAATCACACCCAGCACACTATCTCTTTTGCTACGGATGGAGACGGGAGACGTACCATCCCCCCCACCCTCGCCCCCGGCGCAGGATCAACAGGGAAAAACAACCCCTTCTCCTCCAACCTCTTGTTCAATTCCACCCAACCCAATCCTGGTTGCACAACAACATCCATATCCTCCTCATTCACCTTCAAAATCCCCTTCATCTTCTCGAAACTTACACATACCCCTCCTTCACTGTTTCCCAGCGCTTGGCCGAAGCTTGTGCCGCCGGAAAAGGGTGTCACGGCTATGCGGCGCTCGTTGCATGCTTTTAGCACGAGGGATGTTTCTGCGGTGGTTTGGGGGAAGAAGACTATTAGAGGTGTGTGGGTTGGGGGCGCGGGGGACCAGGGGGTGTTTGATTTGCTGGTGCGGGTGGAGAGGTCGAGGGTATGGGAGATGTTGTGGGAGATGAGCGAGGAGAGTAGGCTGTGGATGTTGGGGGCGGAATGGTCGTATGTGTGTGGTGGCATGATATCAGCAACGGCGGAGTAGGGGTGGATCAGGGTTTAGTGAGGATAGGCTATGTTGTTAGTCCCAGATGTCTTCAATCAAAAATTGAAAACTAGGACGTTGGAGTATTCGTGTTGAGTCGGAAACGTGGTTACCGAGGCGAAGCTATGTCTTCGGAACGAGTTCCGCGGGTGAACATGATCAGCAGAGCAGCTGCGAGGGCGGACACGGCAAACCTAATGACAGCGACAGCAAGGTCGAGCAGGCCCTATACGACGTGTAGGTGCCTGAAGACACCTCGCAGTCATCTACACTTGCATTAAGCTTTCCTAATCGGGTAATAGGATAATATCGAGGTTTGCCGCGCTTTCTTGAAGATTGTGGAGAGGCTTCTTTTCTGTTCACAATATGACAACATCCTGCCATTACAACTTCGCAGTGTCCTTCGGGTCGCCAGTAGCGCCAGCCGTTTTCAGCGCATTCCACAGTCTCAAGCATTCCTCCAGTCGAGTGTCTTCTTCAATAGCGACATCTCCATCCTTCTTCAGCGTTCTCAATTGCATCGCATGCTGCGTACCCCAATCCATCTCTTCGCCCTTCAAGAACCTGCTCAACGGTTCGTGAAACGTCTTCAACGCGATCTGCTTCTCCTCCTCAGTCAGATCATTGCCATTTCCCCAGAACCATATCGCCATGTCGGAGCCGTGACTTGCACCAAAATGCTTGGGTAGTTCCTTATCAACACACTGCGCACGCCATTCGATGCGGTATCTGTGAATGAGATCTCCCGCGCCATGCTTCACCAACGTATTGACCATACCGCGACGCAGTGCGTGTATCTGAACGTCAGCGTAGATATGGCCGAAAGCTGCCTGCCAGCTCGAGTACCTTGACGGCAGTTTGCGGTTGGGAAAGTAGTGCGACATCAACACCTTGCATGCCTCGCGAGGGTAGTCAGCTTCAAGGCGGTACAGCATGTTGTCGAAGCCCGGTGTAGGCGGTCGCCAAAGACCGTAGACATGATGCTCGTCGCTGCATTCGCCAATAATGAGCTTGACGTTGCGGCGTTTCATGCGCTGAGCATAAACACCATTCGACAGCTCTTCGAGAAGCCCATGCCGCACAAACCCCCCATCAGTAACAGCGCGGAACTGATGCAGCTTGATCCTGTTACTCGCTTCCACAATCGCTCGTGGGCTCAACGAACGGAGTTTCGCCAACTTCGCAGCCGGCGACGCAGCCAAATCGATAGCCAGCGCCCCCAACAGCTCGTCGAACTGGTCCTGCGCCTCTCCCAAACTCTTCGGTTGCATACCCGGCCCATTCGACAGCATCAACGCCCTCTTAACAACCGCCTTCTCATCGACGCAACCGAGATCGTACGACAGCTGATGGAACACCGAGTGCGAACCCGCCGAGTAACCCCCGACAGTAATATTCGCGGCGTTCCCACCAAAATAGCTAACATTCTCATACGTCCACTGCAAAGCCAGTCGCTGATCCCAAAAGCCAAGATTAACGCCAAAATCACCAGGAGCACACGAGTCGATCAGCTCCTGGCATGCGAGAAATCCGAATACGTTTAGGCGGTACGCGGGAGCGACGACGACGCATTGCACGGGGGACTCGCTGAGTAGCGCACGGAGGTCGAGTCCGTTCGGGCTACCCCATTGCAGGAACCCGCCGTCTAGGGCGCGTTAGTGCGAATCTACCACGTGGTGCCAGAGTTTATGTCCCGTGCCAATGTGCGCCAACCGAGGATCTGCCTCGAATGCTGTCTGCCGTGAAACGGCGATGCCAAGCACTAGGAGGTGACGAGGAGGAAATGATTACTTACGGATCCAGAATAGTACCGGCCAACCTCCCCGAGTCAGCTTTCAATTGGTTGAGGTCGGGTAGAGTCAGGGACATTACCTTCTGCTGGCGATGGCCCGGCTGGAATCCAGATGTTGGTTTGCAGACAGTCTTCGTCCCAGGCGAGCTCGTCAAGGGTTTCTGTGTTGGAGCCTGGCTGCGGGCATAATCCACAGCCGCCTGTGTATCGTCCTGGGTTCGCTTTTGTGCCGTAGCGGTAGCATGGTGGTAGGGACCGAGGCTTTCGGAAGCGAAAGGGGCCGACGGGTGGGAGAGCGTATGGGACGCCGCCGAAATAATGACACTGTGCCTGGCTGTCGCTGTTCAGGTACGTCAGGCCCTCAGCGAAGCCACGAAACTGAAGATCGCGACGATATGGTTTCGACGGCTTCGACATGTTGATGAAAGGTGATGTGGTGCAGGTGAGGTTGCTGATCAATGACGGACCTCGGTTAGATGTGAGACAGGGATCTGCAGCCCCTGACGGTGATCATGATGACCATGGGAGCGGGATTATGTCCGTGAGTACGCAACGGTGCGGCAATGCATTCCTGGTATTGGGTAGCAGGATGGTTTGAAGATCATTAATTCATTATCATTACTATGTGCTTCTGTGTAGAGAAGCGTTTAAACCCACTCAGTATGGTCGCGCGACGCTATACTCTTGCTGTCGGCTGTCACACTGACATGTGTAGTCTTCATGATCGCTCCTTCGGAGCCTTTTCGCTCATGGCTCGCCTCATCTGGCAGTATGCCGAGCTCACTGTCATCATCCGTCTCGTGCTTTGGCTTTGAAGACCTTCCGCTGACCTGGGGCCCTGATACTTGGAGCGCATAGCTTTGTCGCGATCCCTTGCCTGATCCTCCTGTGAGACTGGTTGGGAGCACTTTGCGGAGGACGTTTTCGAATGTTTTGCGGAGTGGTGGAAGCGAGGCAGTGAAGGCGCCAACGAAGACTTCGGCAATGGCGAAGATGCTGAGGTTGACGGAGGAGTAGGTTGGATCTGGCGATTCGTTCAACGACTTCATCTCGTAGAGTTTGAGTGCGGATATGGTGGTGGTGCTGAGGCGTGTTAGTGATACGAGCAAAATGCCTGGTGACAAGACAACTTACATGAGACCACACAGGAACACTGCGCGCACGCCCCAGATGGTCCGCTTCGGAAGTTGCACCCTCGCAATGTAGATAAGCGGCGCCATGGTGTAGAGTAGGTCGGTCGCGATGTTGACCGCAGCGCCGGAGTATCCAGAGATGACACGCGGCTTCGCATCCCAGCAAGAGCCTGGCTTCATTCCGGAGACATCCCAATGCTTGGTGTATGGAGTGCATTCGCCGAATAGAATGACTGTTGGAAAGACGAAGTTGACGCCGAGATGGATCACGACGGAAGCCCAAATGATGATCCGGAAGGTTCGCGAGAAGTCCAGCATGAAGATGTAGGCGCATACACTCAGCTTGATCAAGGCCATGCCGTACAGGTTAAGCAGCTGGCCGACCCAGAGGAAGTAGAGGTACGTTTCCATGTTTTGTGGTGTCAACATAGGGTCCCAGACATGCCTGCCGGCCCCAACTTCAGCCATCTTGTAGCAGCATGCTGCGCCTGCGACAGCTATGACCTAAAGCTGATTAGCAAACGCTTCAAACTCTTGTTTGATCGCGACTTACATGTCCCGTCCATAGGAGGTGATCGGTTAGTAGGAAGTAATTCCTATTCCTCCAGTTTATGCCCAAGCGGAGTAGAACGAATATTGAGCTGAATATGATCAAAGCGATGATGGGTATCTTGAGCGCATTGGAGCGGTCGTCCAAAGGAAGTCCCTCCGGTGTTGTGGGTACACCCATTGCAGATGGAAGAATGTAAAGAGGATGAGACACGAAAAGATAAAAATGCCCAATGAAATTGGCTGACCGGAGACCTCTCCTCGAAATGAGCTTCTGCTGATCACCGGAAATGCTATGCAGGCTGATGCAGCAACGGGCCGGGTGGACGTGCTGTTATAATTGCTCTGTTAACGTTCTGCAGATAGCCAGACATAAACGGCGGAGTGGCCGACCGATGTCAAACTCAGCCAATCCCGTAAGACGCAACGAAGCATGCAGGAGGCGGTTAAACCCTATTCCTACGACTGTGCGCCGAGGACTAGCGCACATCACCGTGGCAGGTCGTTAGTCAGGATGCGTTCATGCTCGGACATCGTGGTCCAGATCTCCACTGATCAGCTTGAAGGAGGCAGCCGAGCCGCAAGGCTCTGCAGATCAAACATATCTCCTCCTCCTCTTGCGCAAGCCCTGGAAGAGCCAGAAGCGCACGGTCGGGAGACCTTCCACAGCCACTCCCAATTTGTCTTCTGGAAACAAACCCAACCAAACTCTTGCATGCTGCTAACCCACAGCCCCGAGATTAGGTTCATCGTGAGTTATGGCCGGAGCCAGCAAGCACGACATCTGTCACTCGGTTAGCCGTCGTGGCATGGGCTAAAAGGTTATGATGCGCGCCGTTGCCCGAAGGTTTAGCTCAGGCGGGCGCCGATGCCAGGCCATCAGACTCGAAACGGCCTTGTCAAGTAGTATGAGTAAACAGACAGCGAAGATGTCTGGTGTCCATCAGTTCGAGCGCATCAGATACCCCTTGCACTCTTCAATGTGACCAACCGACGCGAAGTCTCTGTGACGATGTCATATTCAGTGAACGGGCCGAACGGGTGCAACAGCACCGGCTTGTTGCTCGCTCTTCGCTACCGCAATAATTCTAGTACAACGTGGGTGCCCGCAGCAGGAAAGGTTGACAAGCGACGGTTGCTGAGCTCGTGGAGTTAGTGATGCCGCCAGGTTTGTGTCTTTGTGTGGCTAGTGTCAGATAGGAGCGCGCCATACCCGATTGAGCCATCTCCGGCCGCCACCGATAATCTAGACGACTGCAAACCTAAACACTCGTACGCCAAAGCATAATAATCGACCTAACGATGACCCGCCTCAGCGCGACAGCAGGATGAGGACGATGGAGATTTTCACCAGTACGGCTCTTGCAACGTGACAGCCGTGGCCCCTGCATTCCCGCGGTTGTACCATGGGCCGCCGCTTCGCCATCACCACACCGTCGGTCTCGCCCTTTGAACTATCGACTACTATGTGGTTCGCAGGACAAAGCGCTGCACCGTCCAGGGTAAAATCTCCTCATCAGCTCGCGTGGCGCACGTCATACGACGATACACGTGGTTGTTACGGCGGGAGCTGATAGTCGACGCCACGTTAGCTGTACTTGCCAGATATTGATGACTGCAGCTCTAGGCTTGTCGATAGCCGGTCAGATTGACAGGATCATTAGGCTTACCAGTTCCAGTCGACTACGGTTATACTTTTTCGCAAGGTTTGCGGATCTCTACGTTGTTCCCGTGCAGAATCGATCCAAGAACCCGGGCAACATGCTGCATTGAGCACTGCAGAGTCTGGTACCTTTGAGCGCCAGTTACTCCACGAGAAAAAGTCGTTACGCAACGCCCAGCGGGTAGTATAGAACTGCCATGGCATGCCGAACCTCGTTTATCTGCAAGCGAAACACTTCAGTAGCTTCGCGTACTCAGGGGTGGCCCGTCCGTCAGCTACCTGACAAACGGAACAGTCCTGGTATAAACCTTCGACGATCCGTAATCTTAGCTCTGGACGCACCACTCACCCTTGCGCCATTCGTCTGGTGCTCATACACTCCTTCTGTCCATAATTTCTAATATGTCTCTTCTTCTTGGGGGCATTTTCTACCTTGCGTCTTTCGTGCCGCGCGTGTTGGACCCGTCCTCTCCGGGTAGCAGCAGCGGCGAGCCAGATGTTGGAGGGCAATCGTTCGACTACATCATCGTTGGTGGCGGGTTGACAGGCCTGACAGTTGCCAACCGCCTCAGCGAAGATTCAAGCCGTGAGTAACCACATTCGGCGTTCACATATGGACCTAACATCCCCAGGTACTGTTCTCGTGATCGAAAATGGATATGTCGTCGACGATGTGACCACTCAAGTACCTAGCTTTGCCAACAGTGTCAACGCAAATCTCATGTACGACATCACGTCTGCATATGACACGAATACAGGTGGTACTCATCCTGTCTGGGTGGGTAACGTTGTTGGTGGTGGATCTGTAGTCAACGGTATGGCCTTTGACCGAGCATCTGCCGCCGACTACAATGCGTGGGAGCAACTTGGTAACAGTGGCTGGAACTTCAACAGCCTCTTATACTACTTCAAAAAGTCAACCACGTTCACGCCGCCAACAGCGAACAACGTCAAGAGCTTTGGCACCACGTATGACGCATCGTACTATGGCACCAACGGTCCGATACAAGCATCGTTCCCAAACTTCGAGTACGAAGACACAAAGACCATCTGGGCGGCATACAAGCAGTCAGGTGTGCCTTTGCCAAGAGAACATGCTTCGGGGAGGGCAGTGGGTGCTTTCTGGATACCTACAGCTCTGCGACCCAAGACCCAGACACGATCTCACGCGAAGAACGAGTACTACGACCCTGTCAAGACCCGCAGCAACCTCGTACTGGTCACTGGAAAGACTGTCAACGAGGTCCTCTTCGACAAGGGCCTCCTCACTGGATACACAGCCAATGGTGTCCAATTCAAATCGCGAACGGATGGCTCAGTCAAGCAAGTCTATGCAAAGCGCGAGGTCATCATGGCTGCGGGCTCAATCTTCACACCACAGATCCTTCAGCTCAGTGGTATTGGGCCGAGCGATGTCCTTAAAGCTGCAGGCATCAACGTGAAGAAGAACATGCCCGCTGTCGGCGCCAACATGCAAGACCACCCCAATGCCAACATGGTTTTCGACCTCAAGAACCTCGCCTTCCCCAACATCTACAGCGGCGCAGACCCCACTTATAACGCTACAGTATGGTCAGAGTACGACACCAGCAGGAGCGGCCCCCTCACGCAGGCCCATGGCAGCAGCCTAGCCTTCCTCAGTCTGCAGACAGTTTGCGATAACTGGAACCAGATTGTGCAGACTGTCAAGTCACAGAACGTCCGTAGCTACCTTCCGTCGGTATACGACGACTCTTCTCTGCTACGCGGCTTCACAAAGCAACGCGACATCATCGCTGGTCTCCATAGTAGCGCCGATGCTGCTGTTGGCGAGTTCCCCATGGTACCCTTCGGTCTTGCCATCAGCTCGCTGCAACGTCCCCTCTCTCGCGGCACTGTCACCATCAACCCAAGCAACAAATACGGCAACCCCGTTGTTCAATTTAACGCCCTCCAAAACCCTGTCGATCGCCAGATAATCGCTGGAATGGTCCGATGGACGCGCAAGCACTGGGCAAACCCTGAGCTCAAGAAGTTCTCTCCAGTCGAGCTCACGCCTGGAACTCAGGCACAGACGGACGATGAGATCATCAATGACCTTGTTCAGCAAAAGGCTCTCCAGGCTTCTTTCGCACACATGTCTGGTAGCTGCGCAATGATGCCGGAGTCGCTCGGTGGGTGCGTTGGCAGTGACCTCACTGTGCACGGCGTGAAGGGCCTGAGCATCGTAGACGCGAGTATCATCCCATTGATCCCCGCGACACACTTACAAGCGACCATGTACGCTGTCGCAGAGAAGGGAGCTGATTTGATCAAAGCCCGTAACGCTTTCGATATTCTCAATCCTTTTGGTCTTCCTATTTTCAGAAGTTTCTTTCGATGGTAGAAGTAAGCTGTAGTGCATAATAAAATCAAACACTTTCCTTTACGCCATCAAGTTTCCCATGAGACTACTGCGCCCGTGATGTTACATGACCGCCTTTCTCGTCTACGTCACTTGTCGTTATTCTAGTCCCCTGCATCTGATCGTCAACACAACCGAACTAGCTATGAACTGATAGTTCCCTCCAGAAGCGCATGCGCCAAAGACTCTCCATCTAGACTCTAGTGCTTCGTGTGCACGGTCACCCCCGCACAGTTCGTTCGCTGCAATCAGGCTAAAGACGGGAAGGGTGATCAGGCACGGAGCGGTAGATCTTGAACCGCATGCTTGGAAATGGTGAAATGACATGCATAACCCAACAAGAAAAGTTGCGAGAACAATCACAATTATACGTACGCACTCAAAGGTGCCGAAATCCCCAGACCACGTCCGCAGCTCCGACCTGACAACCCCAACTCCCTTTCGCATTCAACCCCATTTAGCCGTCGCACTACCTAGCCCGCAAGGCCCGTAGCGACTTTCGGCACAGCGTAGCCCTTCCAGACCTCGAAGTTCGCGCTCTTAGCTTTGCTAAGATCAAATACGGCTTGCCCCTGCGTCGTGTGCTTCGATACACTAGAAGCGGGATTCGTCTTTTGGGCCGGCGCTGTCGGATTGAAAGCGAACCCGAGACTTGGTGCTGTATCAGTAGGCTTGAACGTCGTGCTGTCGGTCTGAATGCACTTGGAGCAGAGGAATGTGTAGGTCCAGTGCGTGCTGTTGACGTATGTGCCGTTTGCTATCGTTGTCTGTGTGAAGGCTCCCGTTGCGACGGCTGGGGAGGCGTATTGGCTGCTGGTTGTTAGCATGGCCTCGTTGGTGAGGTCATTCGTCTTGAACGTACGCTGTCTTCCTGAAGCTGCCCACTACAGTTTGAGCGTTTGGCCAAGCGACGATCAGGAGCTTGTTGAGCATTCCACCTCCGAGAGAAACACCGCTCCACCCCGTACCTTTGCCCCCGATCGTTGCGATGAAGTCAGTGTGCCCGGTGGCGTTAGCTGTAAGTGCAAGACCGAAGAATATGCCGCTACTGTGCTGGAGGGTGTTGAATGTGATGCCGGATTTGACATCGGTGTACGGGGATGGTGTTTGTGCAGCCGCAAGTGTTGCAAGAACGCCGAGGACGAGACTAGAGCACTTCATCTTCTCAATAAGGAAGGTATGAGAACAGTGTGTTTCTGAGGGTTGGCGCCAGTCGAAGACTTTCGCGCGTGTCTTTAACGACCTTTTTCCTGCAAGTCTGCTCCTTCGAGAACTCTAGATACCGATATCATCTCCGCTCCGAATATAGTGCAGCTTTGCAAAAATTTAAAACACATGGAGTCAATGTCTATCCCGCGTTTGAAGCATATCCGCTGAGTGCTGGGCTCGTTGCGAGATATCCGACTGGGTTCTGGATAGATGATACTTGGTAATACGCGGTAAAAGATTGGTGGAGAGCTGACGGATCCCCAAGGCTGCGAAATGAGAAACATCCAGATGTTGAGGAATGTGAGTGCTCCATATATAGGCTGTTAAATATCGAGTGCGTATGCTGCGTCTTTCCTGGGTTTGGAGATTACCGAGCGATCTGGACATGGCTGTAGTATCGGTGTGCATCAAACCAGTAGAGATACATCTCAACCAGCGAATAACAGCACGATCTGAAATATCAACTAATCGACAAAGTACACAACTTGAAGTCTTCTTACGGTGTTGGAGCGGTGCTGCCGTGACATTACCTTGGCTTCTCCGGCTCATGCGCCTTTGACAGAACGACTATCCTGCTATCATTTATAGCGAGTTCTTTCGCACCATTTATTGTGATTTAGTTGCGCATCGGTGGTGACGAGAATGCTACATGGTAAGACAACCTTGGAACGATGCTGGCCCTCCTGATCACGAGCTTGGCCTCTGACCTCGCGCAGTGCGGATGGCGATTGCCTTTTTGATGGGCAAAATTAGGCCAACATAATGTCGCCGTACTGTAGAAGTTGTCGCTGCCGTGACAATCGCGTCGTATGCGCCCCTGGAGAACGGGGACGCGACGCCATCGTCGAGGCAATCCGAAAACCGCTTGCTGGAGCGATTCGCGCACTAGCCTTGGACCAGAACATTGGTTTTCCCGGTTGGGTACGCTTCCCGCAGATGATGATGATGACGGAAGTAATTCTGGGGGCTGCAATCGCTTTTGGCCCCCACACCACCCACTTATGCCTGCTTAGTCAGCATCGCTAAAGCATCCCGAGGTCTCTCGGACGAAATTCTGGCCTCAGACATCCATCATCTAGGCACCGTGCTGCAAGCCACATCAACGCCTACTCGCTGGTAATTATTGAGAGCTCTGTCGTCAGACGGTGACTGTGGATCACGCGACGTTTAACGATGGCCTGGACAAGGAAGGTTCTCTTGCGCCGCGTTCTTTCTCCACTTGCATCTCAGCCTTACCACTGATGAGACCCGCTAAGGCTTTTGTTGCTCCATCGTCGCATTTGTGCACAATACAGGATCATGGCCGCACCGGAGCGGACGACTCAGAGTACACTCAAGAAGACCTTTGTTGATCCTTTTCGGCTGCAAAAGCTGCGGCGCAAGTCCTCTGCGCCAACTACAGCGCCCGCCAGCCCGCCGGCAACACCCGACCAGGATGACCCACTGGCAGCCTTACCTTTCCTGCAGTATGGCTCTCTAGACCCAAATAAGAAGAGCGTCAGGCTTCTGGAGATACTGCCAGCACCTGAACACGAGCCCATACAGGCAACCCTATCAGTCTGCGACCTGGATCATAAGCCTACCTTCATCGCACTGTCTTACATGTGGGACAAGGCTGGTGAGAAGAAGTACATTGACATCCAAGGATCGAAGTTCGCCGTGGGAGAGAGCTTATGGAACTTCATTCAGCAATACCGCAGGAAGCAGTACCTTCGACAGTGCTGCGAGAAGGATCCAGGCAAGGCCATTCCCCTGTGGATTGATGCCATCGCCATCGACCAGAGCAACATACCGGAGCGCAATCATCAAGTGTCGCTCATGCGCGATGTATACACTGGAGCGCAATCTGTCATAGTATGGCTCGGACTTCCCCAAGGATACGAGGAGTTGGCCTTCATGCTTGCGCGGCATCCTGGCCTTCTCAGGGTCGAGGAGTTTCACAATGCTCTGGCGAACGTCCTCAACAAACCGTATTGGAGTCGGGTGTGGGTGGTGCAAGAGTTCGTACTGGCACAATCGGTCGAGATATGGTGTGGCGATCTCAGTGTGGGTGCTGCGACAGTCGAAAGCATCTGGCGCGATGGGCTTGCGTCCGCACCAGTCGCGTCGCCAACAAGCATAATATATACAAGTCGCGGCTACTTGCTGTTCAAGTACCGGAAAGACTTCAAACGCACGAAGCAGTACCGGAGGGAGATGCTTGGTCGCCGCAACAGCAAGACCCTGAAGTCGACATTTCGCTTGCGCGATCTCTTACAAGCCTTTGCCTTATCGGAGAGTTCTGTGGTATATGATAGAGTGTACGGCTTTCTAGGAGTCGCATCGACTGGCCGTGGAGAGAGGATTGTGCCTGACTACAGCAAAGCACCAGTCGAGCTACTCGTCGATGTGCTTCGCAACCAATGTCAAGAAGACCCTAGGAGAGGAGATTCAGACGACTATCGTTTCTTGACGTTCCTCATGCAAGCGCTCGGCGTCTCGCGTGAGACCCTCGCACAGCATATCCTAAAGCTGTGCCCCGATCTGCAGCCGCACCTTTACATTGTGGCTGCCACACCCTGCATGACCGCATCGGTCTCGTTCATCAGTACAATCACTGAAGTGGGAAATTTCGTCGATCATGACGAGGCCTTCCAAGCAGGCACATGGAGAGCGACGTGGTCGAGATCAAACATGCATCCAAGATCCTTTTCGACCCAAGACATCCAGGACCTTGGTGACTACATCACCAACGGAGACACGCAAACCCTGCTCAGCTTTGCCGACCCTCATGTGCCATACGGAAACCCCGGTCCAACTGAAAAAGTACGGCAAGCCATGATTGAAGCGTCCGCGGACTTGTTGATCGATGGCCTCTCGCGAGCAATTGGAGAGCAAGGGCCTGCCGCCCGTGCCAGTCCGCAACCTGGTGGCAATGGAAGTAAAGTCATCCGCAACATCATCTCGCGCAGCATGACTGAGGACGCTGCGGCACTATACATGGCTGCTAGGAGTAAACTGGCCCGGCGAAACACCGACCAACGACACGCACGGTACACATCCTTCGTAGGCACTAACGGCATCACTGGATTTGCTTGCGGAGGAGGCCCAGGGTCGTACGAAATAGGATCAGGTGACCGCATCTGCATGTTCTCTGGTGTTACCGACGTCAACAACGCTTTCATCCTCAGTCTCGACGCCAGCGGGAAATGGCTGATATCCGGCTTCGCAGTCATACTGTTGCCGGAGTTGCGCACGCCTTCAGTGATGCGAAAAGGCACTGGGGCTACGACGATGAGTAGTCACGGCACGAGTGCGTCGGACAAGCAGGAGACATCGCTCAACGATGTGACCATGTGCTTCCACTGCCATTTGAGCGACTTGCTTGAGCTCCAGCGCTGCCAACTTTTGAGTGAGGTGCAGATGAGCTTCTTAGTTGAGCAAACGTTGAGAAGTGAAGCGGAGGGAATGGTTCACCGATGTAAGCAAGGTACCGAAGCTCACGCTGCACTGGAATTCGGATTGTAGCGTCGTATAAAGACTGCGCATTGCGCGATGCATTAATGCTACAAGGAGCGCACTTCTGGTCTCAAACCGATCCAGCACCTATAGCCTTCCAAATTCTGGCGAATCACCACAATGATGTCGTCTGAAGTCCCATATACCAGCTTGTCTTTGCCGCCCAATAACATGAACTTGGCTGTGATAGCCTGGGAGGGGCAATCATCATCATCCACAGCCTGGTCAACGTTCCATACCAGAATCCCGGCACATCGCACTATTCATCCGAGGGGCTCTGATCCTATCGCCCTATGTTACAGGCGCTGCACGCTGATGCGCACGTTAACTTCAGTCGTGGCATCCGATCATCTCGTATAGCGCGAAACATACTTCTGCGGTTCGCTTGACGAAACTTGGAGTACTCGAAGAAAAGACCGACCGATGCGATGGCGATAGACATCGTTCCGTAAACGATGCCGACGATGGTGTTGGCATTGACGCCACTGCCGGGCACCGTGGGGGCCGCTTCTGTGCAGTTCATAATCGCGGGGGTGATTGTTGGTGGCGAACGTTTGGTGTTCAAGAACAGTGTTGTTTGAGGCTGATGGAAACTCTCTCAATGCATCACAGAGCGCTGCAGGTGATCGTATTGTATGCGCAACTCATCTTGCTGTAGCGATAGCTTCGTGGGCGACGATCTGGTATGTGCAGAGGGGCCGTTTCTGCCATTGGGTGATATTTTGCACATGTTTGGTTTTCACCGCAACTACCTACGCTTTCACCACATTCACGGGTACGTTGATTAGCAGATGAGTACAATCTCGCAAGTGGCAGAACTTTAGATGCATCGTTCGCAAGAAATAATGCGATTAAATCTCCTTGTTCAGCGAAGAAACTCATCACTATGTAGAAGCGCTCTGTGATGCCGACGTTTGCTGGTCTGCTGACCCGACTGACAGCGTCTGCGCCTCCTTGGGCCGTGACAACAGAAGCGTGGCGCACGCGTAAGGAGCGAGCGAGTATGCTTGTCGCACATCATCCATCAACCGAAAAGCCTCGTGCATTATGGGATTGCACGAAAAAAAAGTTTTTCGAGGAAACGAGCCAAATGCGCCACGGAAATTTGAGGCAGCAAGACTGAAAGCTAGCTTGGAACCGAGTACGCCTTGTGTCATCAAACGGGTGAACGGTGATGCTGCCAAGGTGGGTAAGCAACGTAATTGGTCGCGTCAAATCCATGTGCGGCGCGTCCATGTTGCGCGCACAAGCGATGATTCCCGTTGCGTTGGCAGCTTTTCGTGTGTTTGGGCCTTTGGTCAAGGTTTTTGGATTTAGAACTCCAGGCCAGTGCAATGTTTTGCCGTGCCTGACGCCAAAGCTGTATCCTGGGGCGTTGGGCGGGAGATGATTAGAATCCCAGGATACCTAGGTATTGCTGTGTCTAGCGCCATAGCTGTATCCTAGGGCGTTGGGCGGGAGAACGAGTTTCAAGTTTGATAGACGGACATAGACGCAATGTCCATGCCAAGGCTTCAGCTGTGTACACATGATGACGACCGAACGTTGGTGCTGCGTCACGTGGTGTGTGCTGACCTAACCTTGGAACACTGCCCAGGTGCACACGGCACGCTGAATCGATTTGAAACCGGCTTTCGCTGAACAGCCGCGGCCACGCACATACAGCTTCGTGTAAATCATCATGCGCAGAAAACGTGGTGAGGTGTCCAAATTTTTACACGGCTGTCAACTTTGCATCTTGGTGTGCATGTGTGCAGGCGTCTAGCTTCATTAATCGAGTACAAAAGCCATTTTCAAGGCGAAGACAAAATGTCGGAATTGTGGACAGAACGGCGAATCTTTGGATTCCTCGTTACATTGATAGATCAATCTACTGTGTGGAAAAATGAGATTTGACGCGTGGGTGGCTTCAGAACATCAGGTTGACCGGCTCCAGATGAGGTCTTGCGTATCAGGGAATACGGGGGGCAGGGTGGGTTCTGGCTGTGATGTGCATGTGGGACATGTACACTAGGTACTGCAGTTACCGCCGGATGACTTGGATCCGCTATCCGCTTTTTTCTGCACTGCATGTCTCAATGTATGATTGGTGTGCCTGACAGATCCACGGCTGTCTAGACATGCCAACAAAACATTAATGTAGGGTGTTGGTTTGCCGTGCTTTTGGTGACTGCATGTGTGGGCCCTTGCTTTCGTCGCTTAGCCGAAAACGAGCTCGATATCGCCCTAAGGAGGTTAGGGAGCAGCTGGAGACAATGGCTACGTTCATCTCGTGGGCTCAGCTGTGACAATGGAATCGCTCTTTCCAGCGATGATGCAGTCACTCTTCCCACTCACCACCGCGGCAATGTATTTATAAGAATGCGATACCCCACGATGGTAACCTTTCCTCACCTGCCTGTTACGCACCAGCTCCCGCATAAGGCTGAGCACCCACTGGCGACGCCCATTGCCACCTTACGCAACGCATCCCACAACAGTACGCTTTCCTAGTTACGACAACCATCCCAAGATGGATCTCCCGCTGTCTCCATATCAGAATCAGCTACCCAACAATGCGCTTTCGCTTGCGGTCACCCCTGCAACTCACCCGATGATGGGCCTATCACCGCTTCAAGTTCAGCCACAGTCGCAGCCGGATCAAGAGCAAGCCGCAATACTCACACGTATCAAACAACGCTCATACACCGATCCCGACAACGAGGGACGATTCCTGTACAATCTCTTCGTCATACAGTACTTCAAGTCCTTCCAGCGCAACGCGTCTGAGGTGGAGTTGCACCTCAGACACGGTGGGATCAACGAGGTCAAGGAGAACGTCGTTCAGTTGCAGCTATCCAGCGATCTCACAGAGGAGGAAATGTCTTTTTTTCCTCCCTTCATCTGTGTAGAGCACAGTGTTGTGTGCGCCTGGTTGCAAAACAGTTGTAAGTGTTCTGCCTACACTGTCCAAAAACAAACTCTGACAGATCAAAGCCGTTCCTCACTCGGGTTATCTTCAAGTCAACAACATTGCGTCCTCTCATGGTCGAGATTTCTCCATGTTCCCTTCGGCCTCCAGATCGCCAAGCAGGAATGCTCGACGCGGATCCCGCTCGGGAAGTCGCGCACTAGCCCCAGACGAAAAGCTTAGATACACTTGCGGCGAATTCTTTCTCGGCAAGAAATGCGTTAAGTGTAAAGCCGGCTTTGTAAACAAGGACACATTCACGGATCACCTCGGGGAGATCCACCGAGAAGATCTCGCACTCGATAGTTTTCTCGTGGATAAAGAGCGATGCTGTCGACTCCGCGCCGCCGGAGGTGTACAGTCTCTATACAACCACGTATCGGACGACCACGTCCATCAGTTCACTGTCTCTGCTCTTAAAAAGGCGAACAGGCATCGCGCACCTTCTCGAGCGCCTCCAGACCATGGCCGTAGGACCAGCTCTGCAAACAGCAATTACACAATTCCTGGTACTCTGCTGAGTGCTGTACCTCATTCATCTCAGTTCACGCAGCTTCAAGCGTACCAAACGATCGACGAGCCAAGGCAAGTCACGCCAAACCATGCAGCTCCGTATCATCACCAATCAGTCACTATTCCAAGCGTACAGTGGCCAGCGCCTGGCTACGAACAACAGCCTGTGCATGGCACTCCGAGCACCCCATACTATCCATAAGACACGTCAGGAAGACTTCAGTTTGCATACCGACACCCCGCACTCCAATAATGCGCTTGGACGAACAGGTTGTGGAAGAAAGCTCGGCACTTGGTTTGGAGTTTACATGGAAGGTATAGATGGCGCATTATACCCCGGTTAGATACCGCCCGATACATTGGCGGTAGGTTTTTTTTTTGTACAGGCAAGCGATGTTTGGTCCTTTTTCCTTGCAGAAGCCTTAGCAGGCACCCAAAAACCTCAGAAAATGGAGCGATAAAACCCACTCGTCATGTCTTGCTCCTTCATCGTGACTGAGTTCACCACCTCTCCACAAGCCCACCTACTCTTACTGCGCCTTCTTCGCCTTCGCCTGCCCACCCCTAAAGCCCATGCCATAGACATACACCAGACTGCCGCCTAGGTACGCTGCAAACATGGTTGCCGGCAGCGCAATGACGCTGCTGATCAGGATGTTGGTATCGCTCGGCACCATGCCGGGGTTGCTTCTGCGCGTCCACCAGTTAAACGCCGCACCCAGCACCGTCACATCGTTGATGACGGCATGTAGCGCGCCAACTTGTGCCTTCCTTGACTTCAAGCCGTCGCGCTTGACAAGCGGAATGAACTCGTACATGCCGGTCGCGACCGCCGGGGCGGAGAAGAGGAGCGTGAGGAGCGTGGTGTAATAGGAGAGGAGGGGGAAGATGGACGGGTTTATGGCGATGTCGAAGGTTTTGACTGGAGGGTGTCAGATAAAGCTGACCAGGCTGGAGAGGGGGGGGTATGGGGGGCTTACATGTCGATGCCACAGCGCCGGAGGTTGGCGCATACTTGGAGAGGAAGTAGACGGCATCCAGAGCACCTGTGAGGAAGGTGGTGGTGATGGGGAAGTGCACTGTCGCTGGGTGTGTTGGGTGGCTCATCTTGGTGTTTTATGACGATTGCAATTGCGAGTGATTTTACTGGGCGATGAGCGGAAGAAGAGAGTGATATTTCATGTCGCAGGTCTATGCACTTTGTGCGCCGCAACTGCAGCGGAGAGCCGGACGCCTCGTGCCCCGTGCAAGGGCGCAAACATCTTCGGCTTACGCTGTGTCGTCATGGACTCCGGACTCAGAGAGGCGTGCCGCGAGGGGGTGGAACACACGCGTTGAGCTCGCGTGGGGCGGGCGGAGCTCGGGACCGTCAGCTCTTTCCCCGGTGCTGTGATTGGCTGGCTATGGCGGTTTAAACACATGCGTCTCGGACCCCCGATCAACAACACGCTATGTGCATCTATGCTTCGAGTCTGATAAGGACTTAATGAAGTCGCGCAAGCTCAGTGAATCTGGGTCGGAAGTCCGCGAATGTCGACCCTGAGGCCTTCGAGTATACCCACCTGAGCAGGTGGTGCGCGCCAACATCACGCATAATCGCACACCGCAGTTATGTCAAAAAGAAAAGACGTGACTTACATCTTTTCATTGCGCTATTAAGAGTACATCGCCTTCGAAACGGCAGAGGACGGAAGCATCAAGCTAGAATATACTTAGGTATCAAGCAGCACGAGGCACGACACAAGTCCACTTACCCGCGAAAAGGGCAGCGGAAGCAGGCCATTTCATCGACGCAACCATATCGCACTTTGAATGAAGGGAAGGCCATATAATACGCTTCTTAGCGGGCCATCTTCGCTCCTAAAATTCGTTTGGGTAAACTCTCTCTACGAGAACTGTCGCAACACCCTCCCGTCGTTTCTACAAAGGCAGTAGACGGTAACAAAGACAACATGTACGATCTTGGTATCATTTTTGAAGAGTAGCGAGACATAAGGACGTTACGGGGATTTGAAGTTCAGGACGAAGAGGAAAAGAAGATGACTTCTTACCGTGTGCGCCGCTGCCTGCATGGCTGCAAGACTGTCTAATGAGGTCACAAAAGCCGCTGTTTCGAAGGCTCACAAAATTTACCTCATTTTTGACGATGTTGAAACGATGCATTGGTCTTCGACAGCCTCTCGACATGGGAATGTTGACGCCGAAAGACTTTATCTTCCATCACATTTCAAAGTTCTATTTCAATCATCTCTAAAAAGTCGTTGTCGCAAAGCTACGACAAGGTGTTGGAGGAAGAATGGTTCCAGGCGACTGATGGCTATCTGATCCACCTCGTCACAATGCACGCAGTTCTTCGTGACACCCAGATGACGACGTCTGGTCTCCAGTTCAAAGTTCCTCCACCGACGATATACGTTGTTACCTTGATTTTAGAACGAAAATGACGTTTGTGTCACAGCCGTGAGGCGCTGAAACGCCGAACACCCGTTCCACAGCCAGCAAACCTTGTGTGCGGCCTTATGCGGGTGATTCGGTAGTGATGATAGCCAGAGTTTCCTTCAAACCATCGAACACTATGCGAATGACGGAAATCCGATGTGTGAGGGCATTGTTGCCAGGATAGAGAAGAGCGTTGCTGGTGTAAGTTCCTGCGATGAGATCTCCGCTGAAGTCGCCGGTTGCATACGAGCTGCGCAGGGACAGGAGATGGCATGGAAGCATGCAAAGCCCGAATCAGAGAACGAACGAGCCATTGCGGGACTTGCCATTGCCCATGTCGTAGAAGCCGAGGTATACAGATACCGTTTGAAATTCCATGAATGACGTTGTTTGTCAGATGGAGGAGAAGCCTCCGATGACATTTGTAATCCTCGACCTGCTAGGCTCCAATGTCGAGAATGATTACATTCTACGTATCTGGGCGCTGGGATGCTTGCTACACAGCTCTGGCCTCGCGGGAACATGTCCTGTTCAAATTTAAGCTTCGCGCCGTTGGGTTTACTGGACAACTCGCCGTCGCATCCGGCTCAAGTATGGTACCTAGGTAGATGCGATTCGCCTCGCACGTGTCCACTGGTTACTGGACAGGTACAGTCTGAACTTGCGTCCTCACCGTATCCAGTACCGTGCGGTCGTATGTATAGTCGCAGTTACATGTGAAGCGAAAGTTACCTAGGTACCAACGGCAAGTCGACGCGACGGCAGACAGCGGAGAAAAACCAGTGCGGGGTCGATCACCACGAAGCCTGAAGCGATCCCCCATACAAACATACCATCTCCACAACACCACGCGCAGCCGGCCGTTCCCGCTTACCACACAGCAGCATCCACGTGCGTGAAAGCGAATGCGAAGCTGCCGAAGTGTATATTGTGGTTTTCGATACGCTAACACGGCGGCGTAGCGGCAAAACAAAGTGCGAACATGGCGATCGGTCAGGCGCTACTTGCCCTGAACGTTCAGGGCGCAGGTCCGAGCCTGTCACAACGATCATTTTGCGCCACCAGACTCCACAAACAACTTTTAGGAGGATGATGAGTTCGGGGTTGGAGCTTGTAAGACCGAGTCATGCGTCGTACCTGACAGCCGGTAGCTTGTGATCTGCACGGCGCGATGCTTGAACGACTCAGGATGGCTGGTTCCGGGAGTTGTGCTACGGTGCCTTGGGATGGTGGAAGCGTTCAGGGAGTGAAGCGGAGTCAGTGGCAGGGACGGGTATGTATATAACGCGTTGTCGCTTTGATGAGAGAGGTGTTGTTGAGTATTGTACCATTCGATCATCATGAAGCTCTCCACCTTTGCAGTTGCCGCTCTCGCCGCACCCTTCGTTCAGGCTGCCCCAACTGACATTCGGGAACTCGCCAACAGGCAGACAAAACCCAAAGAACTCAGTATGATATACCAACTATATGCGACTTGATCGCTTGCTTACTGCCAGCAGTCCAGCCAGAGCTCTACCCGGTCCTCCAACGGTACACCAGATACGCCGTAGCCTCCCTCGCCACCTTCGTCTACGGCTTCGGAACCTGCAAAAGCCCTCCCTTTGGCTCAAAACTCGTCCGAAAAGTTGTCTCCGACATCGTAAACGACACCCAAGTCGCCGTCTTCCAAGATGACGCCGCCAAGGAATTCATCGTCTCCTTCGCTGGCTCATCTTCACTACAGGATTTCGGAACAGACTTCAACTTCTTCTTCATGCCCTTTGATTCTGCACCAGGCTGCACGGGTTGTCAAGTCCACGGCGGTGTTCTGAAAGGCTGGCGATCAGTTCAAGCTGGTGTTATCCAGGCCCTTGCCGAACTACGTGCTGAGCAGCCGTCCTACTCCACCATCATCACCGGTCACAGCCTAGGAGGTGGTCTGGCAAGTATCGCGTACACCGACCTCAAAGCCAACGGCATACCAATCAAAATCGCATACACCATGGGCTCGCTGCGCGTCGGAAACCAACAGTACGCCGACTACACTGACAAGCTGTCTGGTGCAAGCGACACCAATCTCGGCACTCTCATCCGTATCACGCACCGAATCGACGGCGTACCCGGGTTACCGCTCACCCCCATGGGTTTTGTACATACGCGCACTGAGATCTACGAGCAAAACACTGCACCCATTCTAGGAACCCAGAGTGCTGGAACAACGTACCGCTGCTTTGGCCAGGAAGCGCCGGATTGCAACAAGGGGACTGCTACGGGCTTTATTAACCAGGATCATTTGGTGTATACTGAGATTAATATGACAGATGGCGCGCAATGTAATAACTGATGGTTCGATGGTCGGGGAGGAGGGGGATGACGATATTCATGATGATGTATGCTTGTAATGTAACCTTAATTTTTGTTTCTACCAATACAATACACTATTGTACTAGGACCGAGAGTTCTCATGCATTTTGGTTGTTCTGACTCCCTCATAAGTATGCTCAGATGTCCAGACTCATAGGTTTCTCAGCCTCGCTCGAGTAATAATCGACTGATCTAGCGTCGCCATGATCGCTCGACCATCGGCATCCGCCTGGAGCGCCTCATACGCCATGCTCAACGGAAACCCAGCTGATGAGATACCATACAGCATAAAGTCTTCCTGCAGTAGATACTCCATGCTCTTGTAAATGCAAGTACTCAGCTCAAGACACTCCTCCCGCAACGCTTCGGGGCTATATGCCGCATCATCATGCACTGCATGCTTTAGTCCCGGAAAACGATTCAAAAGGCCCTGAATCTCCTTGAGGCAGAGAAGTTGGAAAGCCCAGAAATAGACGAAGACGTTGGCGATACCGAGGCTTGGGTACCATAGCGATTCGTAGGTGCCGCCGAGATCGCGCTCTACGCTCTGTCGACAGGAGATTGGTTCTAGGGTTTTTGCTAGGAAGCCGCTGTGCCAGTTCTTGAGTTGTGCTATACTTCCCATGAGCTCTGTGATGAGTTGGTTGGCTGATCCAGCTGTGCCAACGGCAGTGGCGTTGGGAGAAGTAGGCAGTACCACGTCGATCTTCTCCAGGAGACCGGGGATGTGTGCTGCGACACCTAAGAGACTCTGTAATGGGGCACCTTTGTGATGTTGGAAGGGCAGTGTAAGCCAGGATCCATCTGCGAAGAATGTCGATTTCCGAAGTATAAAGGCTTTGAGTACCTAGGACGTAGACATGTCAGATCATGAAACTCTCTCGTGTGGCATTGTACTTACTAAAAGCGGTCTGAAGCCCATAAGCATGGTATGCTCGATGCCCGATGCGAAGATCTCTGGCGGCATGAGTTGAAACATCTTGCTGACGCCTTCCACATGTATCAGCCAACTAGACTCTTGCGTCGGCGAAAGCACCTATCATATTTCATTAGCCTTTGCTTGAACTAAACAACCCAAAAGAGAGCCAGAAAGATCAGTAAACAATCGTCTGAGAGATGGGCGAGATTACCTCCGTCAGTGCCAAACACATAACTGCGGCTACAAGCTCGCTCCTGTAAGCGTCCCCCACAGCTGCAAGACTTTCTCCCAAAAGACGGAGACTATCCTCGTATTGCGCAACTACTACGTTGAGACAGTCTCTACGCTCTCGATAAGCGGTGATAGCAAGTGCCAAAGCGCTCACGGCCGAGTATAAACACTGAGAATACGGTCCAGTCATATCCGCAGTCAGTTCGGGGAGGGCCTTGGCCCAAGAGCCACAAAACCATGAGCATTGTTCAGATGCATGTGTCGCATTACATGGTAGCTCTTGGACGGGGATGAAATTGCGCAAGATCAACGATACTTTCTCTCGGATGATGGAAGCATCTGGAGGAAATGGACCATGCGAAGGTGGTAAGTCGCTGGACGTGAAGGTGGCCTGCTGGGGAAGTCTAGTCGACTCGTCTTTAGCCTGATTACAACCCACTTCGGCATCGGAAGGACATTGCGCATCCACTGGGAGAAGGAGCTTTGTCCGCGGAGCCGATTTCGGACGCGCCCTTGGCTTTACTGCCGTTTTGGTAGCATCGAAGGGTACAAATAAGGCGTCCGGGTACCCTTCGCATATTCGCTTACTGAAAACACATTGAGTGCATGCTGGACGCTTGCCGTCGCACTGTTCAATACAGAATAGGATCAGCACATACACCCCGGAATCAAGGGACCGTGCAAACATACCTGAAGCTTTCGTTTGCGGCAAGTATCACAGAGGTCCTTTTTCCTGACTTTCATCGCAGAGGTACGCGTCCGTGAGGGAACGCGATATGTTACCGCAACCGGAAGGTATCGATTGGCTTCGGGGTTTTACTCCCGAATTGAATAGCCTAGGGTGGGGCACTACCATGAAATCTGGTATAGGATGGAAATAGCTAGGGATGCGTTGACGCAACGCGGAGGGTGGCAGCTGAGACAGCGCCCAGCAATGATGTAGGTGTTGTGTTCATCCAATGGGAGGTGGACATGTGGGTCGGGGTTCGCTCCTTCGTTGGGCTTAGCGCTTGCGGCTCCAACGCTACTACCCCAGGTATCGTCCGTCGCGTTTCTACACTCTACCAGAACTCATCAGATCATGCGAAAATTCTGTCTTGCTGATTAACGTTGCTGATCAGGTAATCATCGCACCGTTCGCCGATGTGCGAATTGCCCTAGGCTGTATGTCACGATGGCTCTCATTCATGGCGCGGCTTGGTATAAAGCCAACTACTGCGTGCCATTGCATGAAAGATTGATACTCAGGTACTAATCTATCATCACTCTACTATTCGACAAACTTCAATATTTCTATAACAATCATGTCGACGTCCACCTTCAAGAACAAAGTCACCATCACCCACATCGGCACCGCCACCGCCATCCTCGACATCGACGGCATCACCTTCCTCACCGACCCCTTCTTCTCCCCCGCTGGCACCGAGTTCAACGGATCCGCAGCCATTCTCAAAGTCCACGAGGACCCAGCTCTGAAGCTAGACCAACTACCCCACATCGACGCCATTCTCCTCAGCCATGAGAACCACCCCGATAACCTCGACGACTTAGGACGTCGACTCGTCGATGGCCGCCACGTCGTAACCACCAACGATGGCGCGAAGAATCTTGCACCGCGTCCGAGTGTCCTCGGGTTTAGTGACTGGCAAGAAAGAGACGTGCGGATCGCAGGGACTACGTTCCATATCACTGCTACGCCTTGCAAGCACTGGCCCGGACACGAATGCGTCGGCTTTGTCCTGCACACCGAAAGCTTCGGCGTCGCAGCAGACGGCCGTCCAAACGCAATCTACTTCTCCGGCGACACTGTATACATCGAAGAGCTCGCGAAGATTGCGGACAAATACCACATCACTGTCGCTATCATGAATTGCGGTAAAGCGACCTTCTACGAGTTCACCGACGAAGGTAAACCGGGGCAGCCAGGCGATGCTTTACAGATTACTATGGATGGTCGGCAAGCGGCTCACCTTCTTAAGGATCTGAAGGCTGATGTACTGGTGCCGATGCATTATGAGTCGTGGGATCATTTCAAGCAGGGTGGTGATGGGCTTGCGAGGGAGTTTGAGGAGGAGGGGGTTTTGGAGAGGGTGAGGTGGTTGAAGCCTGGGGAGGCTGTTGAGATTAATTGAGCTGTAGAAGGGGGCATTATGTGATGCTAGTGTATTAAAAAATGTATTGGTAGTAGTTGAGCCTTGCATGGTACTGGAGTTGTAGAATGTTGGAGTGATAATAATCACATTTACACTATATCTTGAGGAGTTCAAAATGTCTTCTGGTCTCAACGTCCTGCTTCCTGTTCCTATTGAAAGCCGAATAATTGACGATCCAAGCAACACGCGCATGTATCCCCTTCAGCGCACCACAACAAACATCACATTTCCAGCCAAATTCCAAGAAAACTCGGCGGCCGTGACACAACCGACCAAGAAGTTTCTGCATTCCTTTCTCAATCTCTTCCACCCAGCAGAACGCCGACTTTGTGTATATGAAAACCGCAGTGGGTCGGCATTTGATACCACATCCAGCCTAGCGCCACGACCATCTAGACCAGGAGTTGGCTCATCTTCGGGCAGAAACATCCTTTTAATGCTGATTATCAATCCGTACAAGTTCGCCGATGAGTGAACAAATCTCTCATCTCGTACGTGCAGGTCCGTGATGGGAAAGTATATATACTTTCGAGCCCGCCATCAAGTAGCATCACGCACCCGCTAGAACAGCACAAGATCGACACTCTCTACTTGGCAATTCTAAACTCAGAGTGAGAGATCATGTTTGGAAGAAAGACCACGGACGACCATGAGGGGAAAATATTTCCGGAAACACCAAATCATGGCCAACCGAAACACGAAGACACCGAATCAGCCACACTACCATCCTCAAGCACGAGCCTCGAAGAACAACCCGGAGACGGAATCGTCGCTCAAGAGCCACCAGAAGGCGGTTTAATAGCATGGCTAGCAGTCCTCGCATTCTTCCTCGCAATCATGAACACATGGTACTTCCCCTCCCCTCCCCTCCCCTACACCAACCCAGTCCACCCTTGCTGACAACCACCACCTTCACAGGGGCATGATAATCTCCTTCGGCGTCTTCCAAACCTACTACGTAACAACCCTCCACCAAACCCGCTCCACAATCGCATGGATAGGCTCCCTCGCCGTCTTCCTCCTCTTCTTCACCGGCATCATCAGCGGGCGCCTCACAGACGCCGGGTTTTACCGCTCCGTAACCTTCACAGGCGCTTTCCTCGTCGTGCTAGGCACGTTCATGACATCCCTGTCCGAGACGTACTGGCAAGTTCTGCTCGCGCAGGGTATTTGCACGGGCCTGGGAAACGGGTGTTTGCTCACGCCCATGTCGACGCTTGTGACGAGTTATTTTAAGAGGAGGTTGCCGTTGGTGACGGGCATTGCGGCGTGTGGGAGTGTGACGGGCGGGTTGGTGTATCCGTCTATGGTGAGGACCCTACTGCCGAGTGTGGGGTTTGGGTGGACGTTGAGGGCGATTGGGTTTATTCAGTTGGGGACGTTTGCGGTGGCGTTGGTGGTTGGGCGGCCGAGGAAGGTGGTGAGGAAGAAGGGGCCGCTGTTGGATGTGAGCGTGTTTGGGGAGGGGGCGTTTAATTTGCTGCTTGTGGGGTCTTTTTTGGTAAGTTGTGTTTAGTCTGCCAGTTCCAGATGGTATGGACGCGGTTGCTAACAGATCTGCAGGCTTTCCTGGGCGTCTTCTTCCCGTTCTTCTTCCTCAGCTCATACGCGAGAGAGAAGCGGGGGATGTCATACACCGAGTCCCTCAACCTTACCCTCGTTCTGAACGGCATCGGGTTTGCGGGTCGACTGCTACCCAGTCTGATCGCCCGATACTGCGGCACGATGAATGTCTACATCACATTCATCTTCTGCTCTGCACTCTGCATGTACACCTGGGTCCCGGTACACTCGACTCCCGGGCTCTACGTTTGGACGACTTTCTACAGTCTTTCTGTAGGTGGGGTTCAGTCACTCTCCCTGGCCATCGTCCCTATCATTATCTCCGATACATCGAAGATGGGTGCTTCGTTTGGCATTGTGTTTGCGGCTATTGGAGTTGGCGCATTGATAGGCTCGCCCGTTTGTGGTGCTATTATCACGTCGAGTGGTGGCTCGTATACTGGTGCGCAGGCTTTCTCGGGGAGTGTGTTGGTTGCTGGAGGACTGATCATACTGGCTGCGCGCGAAGCGAAGAGGCGGCAGAAACAGGAAGACGTTTGGGTGAAGATGTGAGGGCCGCACATCGGAACTCTGTTAGTTCCTTTATTCTTTTGGTGTTTTGTTATTGTAATTTAGCCTTCATGCGCATTATCAATTACATGGATGCATTCCTTCCAACCGTGCCACTGCTATGGCCATTCTTCGACGCATCTCTGAGACTAGGGCCTGGAGTGTTTTACTTGTAGTGGTACATTGTTGCGACTGAACCATGCCAATGGCGAGTGTCGTGAGATCGTGCCGTCGAGACGCACGGTCTGTGTTCGATGAAGATAGATGGAGACCCTGAGTTCCACGTGGGGTAGATCCTGTGATAGCGCGTTGTTGTTTACGCGTGGCCCACGTGTCAGACGCCCCGCTTTTACCCTTTGCCCTAGCAACATCAACTGTGCCGGCCGCCTAATTCGGCAACAACACGAGGGGCACTTCCATCGCGACAAGTGAGACACCTCACGATAAGACTATCGGAGTGACAAGACGACACCAGTCCATGCACAGTAGTCAGCGGAGACACCGTGCGCCGTTCCGACCGATCGACACCCTTTCCTCCGCCCAGAAGCCCGCTCTCAAAACCCCAGCGGCCACCGCCCACGCCTACACGTCGGACGATAGCGACTACCCTCACGAACAGTCGACCTCTCTACTCGGCGACTCGAGCAATCTCTTTGACGACATCGAGAGCCCGGCGAGCCATCCCACACAAAAGGAAGTCCTTCAGTCCCGCCTCAAGATGGTGCGTGAGCGAGAGCCTCCCATGGCTCAACCGCCACGCGATGGAACAGCGGCGCCGCCAAAGCCTCTGCAAGACCTACGAAACCCGGCTCCACAGTTTGGCGAGACAAGCCCGCTGAGGAACCCGCTGAAGAAGGACCGGAGCGAGCAGTTTGCACACCTCTTCAACAAACCCAAGCCAGGCCAGATGCGGCCCGAACACAGCCAGACGACGAAGCTACCGTCTCAATACTCGGCGCCTTCTAGACCGTCACAGAGCTCAGCCTCGAGTGGTAGCAGGGATACACTCAATCGACCTTTCAAAGTCCCCTCCGCACAGTCAGGTTCGCGCTATAGCACAGCGTCTACCTCATCTACCGGTTCCGACATCTTTGAGATCGATGCCTCGCAGTTTCAGCCCCGCCCGTCTCAAGGCGCCTCAGTACCGATTCCACGGCCATACAACCCACCACCAAAGACCAGCCATCCTCCCCCGCGACCGATATACTCGTCCATGGGCCACGCTGATGGCTTCCAACCGTTGAACAAGGGCGTGCACAACCCGCTACAACAGGCGCGGCAGACAATCATATTGGACGATGAAGACAACTTCGATCCAGACGCGGCTATTCGAGCCGAGGGTGGACGGTTCGGCGAGCCCGACCCGTACGCGTATGTCGACTCTGGTGCGGCAAGCGAGAACATCAAAGCGCTGCTTGAGGGTGCTTTCGAGGAAGACGAGAAGATTCCCAGGACGCGACTTCGTAAGAAGAAGAAGCAGCAAGAGGATGACGCTGGCAATTCCCTGGCGGACCGACTACAAGCGCTCGCCGTTAAGGACGAAGAGGCTAAGGCAGAGGCTGAACCAGAGGAGGAAGAGGAAGAAGACGATGGAACGGTCGAGGGTCTCAAGGTGAAGCTTCTGCCTCATCAAGTCGATGGTGTCGCGTGGATGATCGAGAAGGAGACCGGAAACCATAACAAGAAGGCCAAGCTGCCCAAGGGCGGTATCTTGGCGGATGATATGGGTCTGGGAAAGACCGTGCAATCTCTGGCACTCATTCTCTCGAACCCTCGGCCGGAGAAGGGCGTTGAGCCAGAGAACAAGAAGAACAAGATCTCCGACTCCACCGGCAAAGGCACTCTCGTCATCGCTCCTCTGGCTCTGATCAAGCAGTGGGAGGCTGAGATCAAGAGCAAGGTCGCCAAGTCGCACGCCCTCAAAGTCCTCGTACATCACGGCCCCAACCGTACAGAGTCCGCTGAGAAGCTGAAGCAGTATGACGTCGTTATCACTACCTTCAACAGCTTGGCTACCGACTTTGCGAAATGTGGCGATGGCCCTGACGGTCTGAAGAAGGGCTGTTTCGCCGTTTCGTGGTACCGCATCATGCTGGACGAGGCACATACCATCAAGAACCGCACAACGAAGATGGCAAAGGCTTGCTACGAACTTCGTTCGCATTACCGATGGTGCCTTACTGGAACACCAATGCAAAACAACATCGACGAGCTACAGAGTCTGATCAAGTTCCTCCGCATCCAACCGTACTGTGAGCTCTCTTCTTGGAAGGAGTCTATCGCGCAGCCAATGAAGAACGGTCGCGGTAACCTTGCCATGAAGCGACTCCAGGTCTTCTTGCGTGCCTTCATGAAGCGCCGTACGAAGGACGTGCTGCGGAAGGAGGGTGCGTTGAACTTTGGCGGCAAAGCCAAGGAGGGCGAGGAGCGGCCGGCCTTCCACATCGTTGCGCGAAACGTCGAGACCATCATAGGAGAGTTCACGAACAAGGAGCGCATTTTCTACGACCGATTACGAGACCGCACACAAGCCCGTCTTGATGAGATGATGGGCGGCGAAAAGCAAGATTATATTGGGGCGTTGGTGTTGCTTCTTCGTCTGCGCCAGGCTTGCAATCATCCCAACCTGACGAAGAGCAACGTTAAGGATGACAAGGATGCTTTGACAACCGGCTCAAAGTCGAATGCTGCAGCTGGTCTTCAAACTCCTCGAAAAGCAGCCAAGGACGATGCCGATGACCTCGCAGATCTCTTAGGAGGTCTCAGCGTTGCGACTAAGCGCTGTGATATCTGTCAGAATACACTCAATAGTGATAATACAGCTGCTGGCGGAGTACGTTGTACAGAGTGCGAGGAAGACCTGAATG